AATGGCGAGGTCTAATTTGGATCTGCCGCGATTACCCTCTATGCTGGACCCCCCAGCAGGCCTCGAAACTGGCGACAGTTTCACAGCCCCCCGCAGGCAAGACAGAAAGAGGCAGGAAAGAGGCGGGAGGCGGGAGGAGGAAGGACGCGACCACACTGATCTATTCAAAACGAATACCCAACCAAGGAGGGCTGGGAAATAGTTACCCCCTTGTTGGTGGGGCCGCAGTCTTTCGAGAAGGCCGCAGGAAAAAAAAAAGATTCGTTACCCCTCTATTGCGAGGGGGGGGCCCTGAAGACTTCTCGCGGTTACTTGGGCAGGTGCGCGCCGCAGCTGCGGAGGCGGTGCGGAGCTCGCACGCGCACCCGGAAGCCGTGGACGGCGCCGCCGTGCAGGCGTATGCCGTCGCACTTGCCGCGCGGCTCGGCGCCGCTGGCCGCGCCCGCGACTTCTGCCCCGCGGCCTTCCTGCGGGAGGCGGGCGCGGCGGCGAGCACGCCCGCCTTCCAGCGGCGCCTGGACGCGGTGCACCGCAGGTTCACGGCGCTCCGAGGGTCTGCCGAGGCCCCACGGGGCCTCCCAGGGCGAAAGTGTTTCGAAGGACCCCCGAGACCTGGGCGGTGCAGTGTTTCCACGCCGGGCGTGGTCGCCCGAGTTCAGGCCCCGGGGCCCTCGCAGATCGATGCGGTGGGGTCGAGGGCTCTGGTCTTGACGTATCGCGGGCTCTTCACTCTGCTTCCACTCTTCCGCAACGTCGGATCTCCGAGGAGGGCCAGTGGAGGCAACAAGGGTCGGCCTTGGAGGGCCTGGGGGGGGGGGGGGGCCCTCGTCGCCACGGCCATAGAAGCCAGCTCGGAGTGCTGGTGCGCGGTTGGACCCCCGGGAGTGGTCTGGGGGGGCGATGCTGCGCTGCCTTCGTCTCAGCTCGCCCTGCGCCGAATGTCCGGGCAGATGTCGTGGGGGCGTCCGAGACGAGGGGGAGGACTGGGCAGGGGTGGATATCATGGGAAGCCGTGTGGTGGAGAGTTCCTCCTCCTCCTCCTCCTCCTCCTCCTCCTCCTCCTCCTCCTCCTCCTCCTCCTCCTCCTCCGGGGACATGCCATTTCCCTGTGGTGTCGTGGCCCCCTCTCCTGCAGTCAGTGCGCTCCCGGGCCTGCCCTCGTCCGCGCACGCGCCGCCGGCCATGATGCGCCAAGCCCGCTCCCCGTGGCCCCCCTCGTCGGCGCACCCAGAAGATGGGGTCGTAAGATCGCGCCGCGCCGCCGACACGTCCGCCCCTGCGGCGCGATGTGGAGCCCGGCTTACTGGCGACGCCACGGCGCCGATGCATCGCTGGCGTCGCCGATGCATGGGCGATGCGGCGCGATCCTCCGACCCCCCCCCCCTGAGATCCTGGCGACTCCATTTTGTCGCGCCGGGCGTTTTCGGTCGACTTCGGGCCCGGAGACCCTCACGGATCGACCCGGCTCGAAAGCTGGCGCAGGAGGATGGGGTCCGGAGGCCAGGCGTGATTTTGCAGTGTTGCATCTTTTTGCAGCGTCGGATCTCGGGGCCAGCCGCTCGGACCCCACGATCTTTTCATGACGTCGGCCCCGAGAGGTCGGGACCCCTTCCCCGGGACCGGTGTTTTGTCCCGAGTCGCTTTTGGGCGGCCTCCGAGGCCCGGTAGGGGCCCCCAGAGGCCGAAAATATGGGAAAATTTCCCGTCGTGTTTTTTTCCTGACTCGAGGGGTTCTGGGCGCCCAGACCCCTCGCGTCGTCACCAAAATCACGACGCAGGGGTTTGGCCGAAGCTCGGGCTCTGGGGGCCCTCGCCAGGCCCTGGGGCCGTCAGAGAGCGGCTCGGGATGAGTAGGCCGTCTGGGGGAAGGAGGCCAGACATCTGGCGAGCCACGCTGTGGACAAACAAACCCAGATCTCCCACGATCCTCCGACCCCCTCGCGCTGGGGAGGCGGACGACGTGCAGGTGCTGCGCTGGATCGTGGACAGGTGCGACCCCCAGGACCGGCGCGAGGGCTCGGGGCTCGGCTTCCAGCTGGCCGCGGTGGACATGGCGCCGTGCGTCCTCTGGATAGCGGCCCGGTACCACCGTGTCCCGGAGGAGACGGGGGGCGCATAGCCCAGACCCCCTCGCGTTGTCAAAAAAAACACGGCGGGAGGTTTTCCTCGATTTTCTGCCCTTGGACGCCCCTACCGGGCCTCGGGGCCGTCGAAAAACAGCTCAGGATGAAAAACCAGGCCCGGGGAAGGGATCCCGACCTCTGGGGGTCGGCGTTGCGAAAAAAACACGACGTCGGGGGTCTGGGAAGGGGGGAACGATAGATGTGGGGGGCAGCGAGGGCTGCAGTGAAGGAGCCCTGTCGGGCCCCTCAAGGGGCCCTTTAGGACCCCAAAGGAGGGCCCTCAGGGCCCGAGACGTGCCCCTTCCTCCCCCCCCCCCATTCGTCGAACACCCCCCGTGAGCGACGCCCGAAGGAGGCCATCATGCGAGCGATTTCCATCTCGGGCAGTGCCAAGGGGGGGTCGCCACTATGATCCGCCGGAGGAGGGAGCCCTGGCGAGACCGTGGCGGGCCTCCCTGGCGCGCTCTCTCCGCCCCGTGTGTCTCGCATCCTGGAGGCTTCTTCCCCGTCGCCGCGGCCCGAGCCGCACCGAAGAACGGGCCAGGACGGACCCGGGGAGAGGTCTGGGGACCGATCTCGAGCGGGCTCGCGCCAGGTTGGAGAGCCGCTGCTGTCTCGCCTGGCCCTCCTCCGAACCAAGGGGGGTCGCGAGCTCCTCCCGAGGATCGAGGTGCCAGGACCGAGGAGGTGGTTGGACGCCTCCGGACATTCCGGACAGTCTGGCGGCGTGGGGGGGGGGTCCTGAAGGGCCCTCTTCTTCGAGAGGGCAGCGACCCACCTCATCAGTGGTGGTCCCACCTGGCATGGCCTGGCCATCGGCGGGGACACCGACACCTGCGCGTGCATGGTTGGAGCTATCCTCGGAGCACTCCATGGGACAAAATGGATCCCTCTGAGGTGGTGGGACGGGGTCGAGAACGGAAAGCGGGGGCGTGACTATGCCGTGAGCCTGGCAGAGAAGCTCGCCGAGCTCAGCATCCCTGAGGCCTGCGACTGAGCCTGGTGCAGTAGGCAGCAGGCATCCGGCCGACGATCGCACCTGTCCTCCCCCCCCCAGTCTCCAGGCCACCCGACTGGGGCCAGAGCAGACGGGGTCGGAGGCTCGTGCCGCAGCGCCGCTGCAATGCTGTGGCGGCGCGATCCCGGGCAGGAGCCCGGCCTCCTGGCGCGGCCGAAGCCTCGGCGCTGCGGTGCGGTCTTCCGGCCTCCACCTGCCCAGGCCCCGTGCGGGAGGGGCCTCCACAGCCCCTGCTCCCCCATCGAGGGGCTCGAGCCCAGCCCCCGGCCACGACGCGGAAGGCGACGGGGTTCGCGAGAAGCTTTCTTGGGGGGGGGGGGGGGCACGGCCGGGGGGTGCTGGCCGATGCCGCGGGGAAGTCCAGGCCCAAAGGGCCGCGCCCCGCCACTCGTGCCTGCCGCCCTCCCGGGCGGACCACAGCGGCAGAGGGCGGCGGCGCGACAGGGCGGCGCGACAGGGCGGCGCGACAGGGCGTGTGCATCAAAGACGCTTCCTGCATCCCGCCTCCTCCTCCTCCTCCTTCTCCTCCTCCTCCTCCCCTTTCCTCCTCATCATCATCATCATCATCATCATCATCATCATCATCATCATCATCATCATCATCATCATGACCATCAGCATCATCATGACCATCAGCATCAGCATCAGCATCATCATCATCATCATCATCATCAGCATCAGCATCAGCATCAGCATCAGCATCATCACCATCATCAGCAGCACAGAAATAGTTGCAGGTAGGGAGGGTTGAGCCTAGAGTTTCGCCCTCTCGTTTTGCTCTAATTAGGAGGATGGAGACGGCCTAGGGCCGACGAGGGGCCCAAGGCTACATAGGCCCTCACGGGCTCCCTCAGGTGTCCTTCCGCCTCGCCTAATGACAGAACCAGCAGCAACTCAGGACGCTGACAGGCGCCCAAATTTGCTAGGCTCGTGCACCGTGCCCGAAGTCGAACTGCTGCCGAGGTCGCTCGCTCGCTCGCTCGCTCCTCCTCCTCCTCCTCCTCCTCCCCCTCCCCCCCCTCCTCCCCTATCCGCCTCCCAAGTTTGATTGGGTTTCAAGTTCTACTCCTCCTTTATATTTCTCTCTCTCTCTCTCTCTCTCTCTGTTCTCTCTCTCTCTCTCTCTTTCCCTCTCTCTCTCTCTTTTGTTCTTCTCTCTATATATATACACATATATATAGAGAGATATCCCTCTCTCGATATATCTATATATATATATATATCGGCTATGAGGTCATCCTGACGTGGCGCAGGCAGCGGAGCAGAGGTGACGCAGAGCTTCCATATGCTTCCATCTTTTCCTTCGGGGTCGCAAGCGATTTGGAACATGGATCTTGGCACCCACAGATTCCACCACCACCACCTCCTCCTCCTTTTCTTCCTCCTCCTCCTCCTCCTCGTCCTCCTCCTCCTCCTCCTCCTCCCCCCCCTCCTACTCCCATTCCTCCTCCATATTATCCGCCTTTCCCTCTATCTCATCCTCTATGTCCTCCACCTCCACCTCTACATCCTCCTTCGTTCCTTCGGCCGCGCCACGCGGGCAACAGATGCGACCGCATCTGCGCTGGGGCTGGGAGCGGGTCGAAAAGAGGTCGGGTATTTCCCTCGAGCGGCCCTTTCGCCAGTGTGCGCGGCGAGCTTTTAGGAGAGAAGGACGCTATCGAGAATACGACCGCGAGGGTGTCGACGTCGATGATGAAAGCGTGCTCGTGTCCAGCTCATGGTAGGCCAGCCTGGGCCGACCCTTAGCATGCTCATGAGGGGGGCCCTTCCGACCTGAGCAGCCCAGAGGGAAGACCTACCGCAGGTCGGTCTCGTGTTGACCCAGCGCGGGCGTTCAAAGCTGAACGCCGCCAGGGGTCTTGGATCGGTTGGTACCGAACGATCTGCGCTGTCCGAAAGCCGCGATCGCTCAAGCCTGAACGATCCACACGGTGCCAAGAGCCAACGCCCGCGCCACGATACGAACCCGCCGCAGCCACCCCGACGCGCCCTGAGGGGAGAGGGCCCGGGCCCCCACGCAACTCGGCGCTGCCCCGCCTGCCCGGCCAGCCAGCTGCCTGCCGCCCTGCGCACGAAGGGCCGGGCGGGGCAGGGCTTCCCGGTTGCCCCAGCGCGCACGAACTGTCAAGCAGTGGCGAAGCGTCCTGGCGTGCCTACAGTTAGCCCTACCAAACAATGTTCCAAGGACCTTTTTGTGTGGTTTCCACGAAATGTCCTTAGAACATTTCTGGCGGAGTCTGTCTTGTTTTATGGCATCGGGTCTATTTTCTAAGAACATGGCTCTTGTTCTCAGACCATTTGGGGGATCGAAGAACATTCCGTGGTAGGACCATAGGAATGCCGGGACGGTCGGTCCCTGCTCAAAGTTGCCCCGAGATAGACTCGACGTCACAAGTCTTTTGCAGCGTCGGGGAGAAGCGAGGCCAGGTCCCTCGACCCGTCTCTTCCCGCGGCACTCCTCCCCGGCCCGATCGCTCCCCGAGGGCCCGAGGCTGGCCCGAGGCTGGGCGAAGAGGCGCCCGGCGTGCAGCAAGAAGGAGACCGCCCAGAGGTCGGGGTGTTCTTCTTCCTCCTCCTCCTCCTCCTCTCCTCCTCCTCCTCCTCCTCCTCCTCCTCCTCCTCCTCCTCCTCCTCCCTCCTCCTCCTCCTCCTCCCCCTCCTCCTCCTCCCCCTCCTCCCACGATTCCCACGACTCCCACGACTCACTCTTCTGCTCCTACCCCTCCTCCCCCCGCTCCTCCTCCCCTCCGCGCTTCCCCCTCGTCATGTGTTCCCCTCCTTCCCCCCTCCTCCACGATACTCCTTCCTCCCGTGGCCACCTGTCGGCTGAAGGGCTTGTCGTCGTGAACCCGCGACGGCGCCCTGCCTGCGCCCCCCCCGCGGCCGACAGCCTGGGGCGAGACGGGCGCCTGATTCAAGCAGTGGCGAAGCGTCCTGGCGTGCCTATAGCCCTACCAAACAATGTTCTAAGAACCTTTTGTGGTTTCCACGAAATGTTCTTAGAACATTTCTGGCGGAGCCTGTGTTGTTTCATCACATCGGGTCTATGTTCTAAGAACACTGTTTTTGCTCTTAGAACATGTCTGGGTTCCCATAACATTTCGTGGTAGGACTATGGGAATGCCGGGACGGTCGGTCCCTGCTCAACCCTCGGCCGACAGCCCGGGGCGAGACGGGCGCCTGTTCGCTTCCACGAAGGGGAGCGGCGCGCTGCTGCACCTAGATAATGCCCTCGCCGCTGCCCAACGGGAACGACGTGCCCGACGCCTTGTACGGCAGCGAGGAGGGCGCCCGCGATTCTCACCCGGCCACCCCGTCCGACAGTGCCCTCGATGACGACGGCAACCATCGGCGGCGCGCAGAGGGGGGTGGCGTGAGGGCTGGTGGGCTTCTGAAAAGAAGGGGTGGAGGGCCTCTCAGGATGCATTGGCCGCCTTGTTGGAGGAAGCGCTTGGGCCCTGGGTGCTTCTGAGAGGGTTCCTCGGAATCTGGGAGGGCCTCCAAGAAATCCTTTCTGCCTTCATGGAAGCTCCCATGGAAGCTCCCGCGCCTTCTTTCAAACAAGAAAAAAAGCATAAACATACATTGTCAGACCTCCGCGCAGATTTCTTGCATCGGCGCTGGAACCCCCTCCCTGGCGCCAGGGGCGGCGCCTGAGGCGCCACCAGAGGGGTCCGGCGCAGATCAAAAAAGATCCACGCGGAGCTTCGAAAGGTTCTGCTTACAGTTGGCGTTGTAAAGATAGTATGCGATGTTGCGCCGCTGGCCCGCTTATTGTACGCTATTCCCTCACCTTGCGGACAGCGTGCACCGAAGAAGCCCTGGCAGGGTGATTGCGTGCGCAGAAGAGGTCCTCGCAGGGGGATCGCCTCACAGGGATGGCGTACTTTTCGGAGATCGATGCTGCACGCTACCAGCGAGCTGGTTGAACATGGCGCGGCCGGCCTGGGCGAGAGCTGGATGCACATGCGGCCAGAGTTCTTTTCAGCGCTCGGCCCTTCAATGGCCGTGCAGGCTGGGCTTCCGCATGTGTATCCAGCAAGTGGCCTCCAGATGTTCCACATGCGAATCTAGCCAAGTGTTTCCAGCTTCTTGGTATCTTTCCAACGTTAACCGTGCCCAGACCCCCGACGTCATGATTTTTGTTCATGACGTCGACCCTGAAAAGTCCCGACCCATTTTCCCCATGACAGTGTTTCATGCTGTTCAGCCGTTGCTTGACGGTCCCGAGACCCGGCAGGGGCCCCCAGAGGCCGAACGTAGCGAAACACTTTCTTCCCGTCGGCCTTGTCTGTCATAACCCAGGGGGGGGGTCCTGGGCGTGTCTCTGCTTCTGCTCCTCTGTGGTGTCCTTCCTGGGCCCCCCTTCCTCTGCGAGGACCTTTCCCCCCCCTCGCGCCACCCCGCCGTGCGCGCCGCCACGAGCAGCAGGTGGACGGGCTCCGCCGCGAGCTCGCCCTCCTCGAGAGGGAGGCGGAGGAGCTCGAGGCGGAGGCTCGGGCAGCGTTGGACACACCACCCTCGGGAGGGACAAAAACACACAGGCACAATCAATCGTCGACTTCCAGGAAAAGATAGGAAAATATGGGAGGTGGGGGGGGGAGACGAAAACACAGAACCGATAGGAAAATATGGGGAATCCTGTTGTTTGTGTATTAATGTGTGTGTGTGAGTGTGTGAGTGTGTGTGTGTGTGTTGTGTGTGTGTTGTGTGTGTTGTGTGTGTTGTGTGTGTTGTGTGTGTTGTGTGTTGTGTGTGTTGTGTGTTGTGTGTTGTGTGTGTGTTGTGTGTGTTGTGTGTGTGTTGTGTGTGTTGTGTGTGTGTTGTGTGTGTGTCTGTGTGTGTTGTGTGTGTTGTGTGTGTTGTGTGTGTTGTGTGTGTTGTGTGTGTTGTGTGTGCGGTGTGTGTGTTGCGCGTGTGTTGTGTGTGCGGTGTGTGTGTTGCGCGTGTGTTGTGTGTGTGTGCTGTGTGTGTGTTGTGTGTGTTGTGTGTGTTGTGTGTGTGTGTGGTGTGTGTCTGTGTGTGTGCCTGTGTGTGTGTCTGTGTGTGTCTGTGTGTGTGGCTGTGTGTGTCTGTGTCTGTGCCTGTGTCTGTGTCTGTGTCTGTGTCTGTGTCTGTGTCTGTGTCTGTCTGTGTCTGTCTGCGTGTGTGTGTGTGTCCCAGGGCCCCTTCACACCCCCATCCCCCCCCCCAGGGCCATGGCATCTCATCGTTGCGTGATGTCCTGAGCTGCCTCGATACGCCCGTTGTCACACAGTGGGGGCGTTGGTTGAGGAGTGTACCCGGGAGGCTGCAGACCCTGGAGGATTCCTTATTCGATGAGGGCGGCGGTGATACCCATGGCCGATCCACGATTGGATTTCTACAGGCTTCCAGACCCTGGATCCCCGATCTAAGGGCTCCTCGTCCGATGCCCTCACCGCACGCAGCACGTGCCGTGCTCGAAACGTCCGTGCCGATGCGCTGCGTGGTGGCTCAACGTATTGGCCCACGTGTTGGCACATGCATCGCGTCAGACCTACGGTTTCGGTCTACGTGTTGAGCTCCGTATCAACACGCTACGTGTTGCGTGTTGCACATCGGGGCAGTTGGGGTGATGTCCGATCCCGAGCTGGGATGACCGCGGCGGCTGCTAAGGGGGTACGGTACGTTCACGTCGTGTCGGCCGGCGGCGACCCCGCTGCGGGCGTTCAACGTTGAGCGCCGCCAGCTACCCAGAATCGGTCGATGTTGAACGATCTGACGTTTCGGAAACGGGGGATCGTGCAAGGTTGAACGATCCCCGCGGCGTCAGTAACCAACGCCGAAGTCGGCACGGCACGAACGTGCCGTAGGGGGGTTAGAAGTGGACGTTCAGATGGGTTGCATCTGGCCGAACCTAGCTTATAAGTGGGTTCGCAGTGCCCTAAGCAGTGTAGGGGGGCCTAGGTAGCTCCGCAGAGTGGGCAGAGTCCGCTTAGCCCAGATCGCAAAACCCCCTAAACCACTAGGGGCCTTTGTAACCCACCCATAAGCTAGGTTAGGCCCGATGCAACCCACCTTAGCATCCACTTTTAAGCCCCCGACCCCCCTTAGCGACGCCAGCGGTCGTCTCAGAACCAAGCCTCCGGGTCGGTTTGGGAGGTCGCCGCAGCGGTCGCGGCAGCCACAAATCGGGGCACGGTTCTTGTCAAGGAGCGGCATGCCCTTTCCCAACCCCATCCCCCCGCTCTGCGATGTAGACACGGCTTCTAATGAGCCGTATAGCGACAGAGAGTTGCCAATTCATGCCCTACATGGGCAGTCAGGTTTTGTGGCCCAGGGGCGGTCATCGCGCAACCAATGGTACATCAGATCGGCCACTCCACCACCCCAGTCGAGCAACGCAAAAACACGGGGTCCCCTTCGCCGACATGGGCGCGCAGGCTGCCCGCGCAAGGTCGCGCGCAAGCGCCCTCGTCTCCATTATGGCGTGCCGCACTGGCGGCCCGCGCGAGTCGCCAGTCGCCGCGTAAGGTCGCTGTGGCATCTCGCGCAGGACCCGTTTTGGAGCTTCGCTCCGTCGGGGATGGGCCCCCGTCGAAGCCCGAAGGGAGCAGCCCGTACGCATCCCCAGCTGGGACAGGGGGCGTCAGATGGGCCAGTGTTTAAAGGCGGGCACGTCCCTCTACAGGAGGAACATTCCAAAAAGTCCACAGACAGCCTGGGGACGGTGGTTCTTATTTATTTTTGACTATTTGGGAGCATTTTGGGCATTTTTTATTGATCGTCCGAAACCCGCCTGCAGGAGGACATGCCCGATCCCAAGGCCAGCGGGGCCTGGGCCTCGCCAGGGGGGACGGGGCTCGGTCCGGCGGTGCCCAAGAGGCGCGGTGGCTCGAGCGGCAGGGCCCGCTGGGCGACGCCCTGGACGCGGGCGTGCTGGGGAGCGGCGCGCGGGCCGCACGCAATCAAAGGGGAAGAAATGAGCGGCACGGCAGGGCCGCGTGTGATCGCTTTCTCATGCATTGTTTCGCCGATCGGCGCGGGCCCTCGCCCACCCCCCTCCCCCCCCCCCCATGGAGAAGATCTTGGCCGTTTCTGGGGCCTGTTTCAGGCTGCTGGAGCCTCCCCCATGGGACGCACTGTTGCAAACAGTCGCGCTAAGCAGAGGTCCAGAGCCAGACCCCCTCCTCCTGCCGCCCAATGTCGAAACGCCGAATATGAAAACGCTCACCGTCGTGTCGAGATCAACCTCGCCAACCGAGCGCGCGCTAAAAAAAGTCTCAGGGCAAGGTGCACCACAGAGTGCTCCGATCGAGCGGAGATGGAGATGGCGAACAGGGATAAGGTTAAAGTTGTCCAGAAAAGAAAGAATCATCCCACCCGGAACGACTTGTCAAAAATCTTCAAAATATTCTGCAAAAGTGCAAATGTAATCTATTTGTCCGTCGACCAGAGGCGACCCCGCCGCCGGCGTTCAACGTTGAACGCCGCCCGCGATTCAGAATTGGTCGATGTTGGACGATCTGACGTTCTGGAAACGGCCGATCATTCAAGTTCGAAGGATCCCCGCGGCGTCAGGAACCAACGCTGGGAGCGACACGACGCGAACCCGCGGCTGCGGCGCCTCCGGCGCCGCCCATGGCGCGCCGCGGATCCAAGAAAGCCGCGCGGACATCCTAAAGTTCATGCTCATGCCGCTTTTTGCTCTCTGCGTGAGATCGGAAGGGGCCAGCCGAGGCGTGCCTCGTCGTCTTTGCTGGGCCTCCCGCGGGCATCTCGTCGCCGCGGCCGCATGCGCCTCGAAGAGCAGGTCTGGGGTGCACCGAGGGCAGAGGCTCGAAGGCGGAGCTCGGGCGGGCGCGGGGCGGGCGGGAGAGCTGCCGCCGTCGTGGCCCCCCCCGCTCCGACGGGGTCGACCCCTCGCCGGAGGGGCCTCCGGTGCGCGGCTGCCGCGGGGCCAACAAAAAGCGGGCACGCAGAGCGCGTGCAGCGATCGGCGAGCCGCGCACCAGAGGCCGCTCGTGCCTGGGAGGAGCAGGTCGGGCATGTCCCTCTGCCAGGGGGGGGTGTTCAGGAGTAGTCAGAAATCGGGGGTGGACAGAACCCCCAACAGTGACACGTCGATTAGTGAATTGTCTGTTTTCGGTTCTCGAGATGGCGCCGTGGCCGTTATTTTCCAGGCTTGCGCCCGCCAGGTTTGGGCCTCAGGTCGTTTTCACTAAACCACGTTTTACTAAAGGGGGGTCTGTCCATCCCCGAAGAAACTAGTCTGGAGACGATTGCTCGACTATTTCTGACTGTGTCTGTTCACTTTTGGACTCCGTTCGATCTGTCTTCCAAAACCCGCCTGTCGGAGGACATGCCCGACCTAAACCTGGGGTCACCCCGGCGCGCGGCCGAGGCATACAGAACCCCGTGAAACCGACTGCTCCAGACAGCACGACCAGCGTCATCGACAGCAGAGTCTTGGCTGAGGTCGACATGACAAAGCGCATACTCGAGCGACTCGTCCAGAAGGTCGACAAGCTTGAGAATGAGAGGAACCGCCAGTTCAATGGTTCCGTCGTTGGTAGCGATGCAGAGGACATGATAAAGCGCGCTGATACCGAAGCTAACCTTAATCATGACGAGAATGACGATGTGCTCGCCAACAGTGCCCTCGCTATGGCTCCGCCTCTTCAGGCGATCATCTATCTGGTGGCCTTCTCTGGAATAGTCTTCACGCTGGTGTTCCCGGCGCTGGAGAAGAGCGGACAGGTTCGCCGCCTCGTGGGAGTAGGTGGCGATGGTTTCGCGGAGGGGCAGGGTCGCCGCCTGGGTGGGCCAGCAGGTGGAGTGATAGTCGCGGTGTGCTACTCCACGCTCGGGGCAGGGCTGATGGCACTGATCACCAGCTTTCTGAAGCAGCCGATCTTGATCGGATACATCCTGGGCGGCGTCCTGGTGGGCCCCACCGGCCTGGCCCTGGTCGACGACTATCTCGAGATACTGACCATCATGGACCTGGGCCTGGTGCTTCTGCTGTTCATGATCGGCCTCGAGGTAGACTTGCACGCGCTGGTCAACATGAACAAGATGAACTGCGTCACAGGAATTCTTCAGTTCCCCCTCTGCGCTGGTATTCACCTGCTCATTTTCTGGTTGCTCAGCTTTGGCATCAATTTTGGCAGTGGCAAATGGAGCTTGGGCTATCTCGCCCTCGCGTGTGGCGTTTCGTCCACCATGATTGTGGTGAAATCGCTGTCTCGCAAAATGGAGGCAGACACCGCCGCAGGAAAGTTTACCCTCGGGATTCTTCTCTTCCAAGATTTCTGGGCGTTCGTGATGATTGCGAGCCAGAGCCACATTGAGAACCCAGATTTGCTCAGTATATTGAAAGATTTCGGCTTCATGTTCGTGTTGATCAACGTCTCCTTCATGTACGCTAAGTACGTTCTGCCTCCGATTTTCCAAAAAGCATCTGCATCTACAGAGCTTATGCTGGTGCTGGCTCTCGCCTGGTGTTTCTTTCTTTGTTGTGGGGCAGCTCTTCCATTCATCAATCTCCCCATCCAGGTTGCAGCATTCATCGGTGGCGTCTCCATGGCAACTTTCCCTTTCAACGCAGAACTCAATTCGAAGATCAAGTACATCCGGGACTATTTCATCACGCTGTATTTTGTTGGGGTCGGCATGCAAATGGATGTGCCAACTAGTGATATGATCGTCTGCGTCATCTGTATTATTGTAGTGGTGCTTCTCACGCGCTGGGTCGGTATCTTCATCGTGGCAGTTGTCCAAGGCTCTGGCCCCCGCCTAGCCATTCTGGCCACGCTGAACCTCTCCCAATGTAGTGAGTTTGGCCTCGTGGTCTGCACATTGGGAGTGAAACTTGGACATATCGACGACGAGACAATGTCGATCGCGATTTGGGTGTTCGCTATTCTTGCGGGCGCTGCTTCGTACATTATCGGCTACAACCACAGCTTGTACCACGCCATCATGCACAAAAGTCGGGTCTTGCCACAAGGCAGCCGCTTGAGGCGTGTCTTCGGTGGTGACGAAGCTCAGACCGAAGACGGCAAAGATCTGGAGGAGCGCGACATAGTTTTCCTTGGTTTCTTCAAGATTGCAGCTGCACTCATCGCTGAGTTTGAGCATAAAGCACCGCAGATCCTGCGCAAGCTTCATGTTCTCGACCACAAAACCTCGTTGAAAGCACCTCTGCACGCGAAGAACATCGCGTTCTCGGCTTGCGACGTCACCTCGGCGGACACAATCAGGGCAACTGTGAAGCAACGAGTCGACCTGGTCCTGATAACCATCCCCGACTACAGGATCACCGGCGTCTCGAACGAGCGGCTGCTGAGGACTCGGGGGCGTCCAACAAGGGGGCCAGGACCAGGAGGCGGTGTGGGCACCATGACAGGGGCCAGGATCTCTCCTGGACTTCGTGCGCCCCCCCCTTCTTCTGTCAGCACGACCACCGGCCCCCCTCGTCCGCACAGAGTCCTCGTGCCGTGATGCGCTCACCCCCCTCTTCGTGGCAGGAGGAGGAGGACGGATGAGGAGGAGGAGGAGGAGGAAACGGAGGAGGAGGAGGAGGAGAATGAGGAGAAGGGAGGAGGGAGGCCCCACTCTCGTCGTCGTCGTCGTCGTCGTCGTCGTCGCGTGTTCCAATGGCTCGAGGGGGCCTGGGCACCCGACGAGGACGGCCCGCGAAGTCTGGCCCGAGTGCCACATCATCGTCATCGCGGACGAGCCGAAGCAGATACGGCGACTCTACGACAAGGGCGCGAACTACGTCCTGGCGAAGCCTAAGCTGAGCGCCGAGCGGATCTCGAAAAACCAACAATATCATAAACATAAACTTTCGGAACTCCGCGCGGATTTCTTGGATCTGCGCTGGAGCCACCTTCCTGGCGCGCGGATTGCGCCTGGGGCGGCGCCGGAGGCGCCGCCGAGGGGTTCCAGCGCAGATCCGAGAACTCCGCGCGGAGCTCCGAAAGTTTACGTTTATGTACCTTTCAATTTTTCTAGGATCGCGGGCATGCTGACAGAGCACTACTCCGAAGGCACTCGGCCACGCGCAAGGGGGGCAGGGGGAGGGGGAAGGCTTCTTAGAAGCACCCCCTGCTTCTTGGAAGGCGCGGGCCTCGTCTTCGGACGGAAGGTCGGCGCCTTCTGGGACGCAGCTTCTTTCTACGAGGCCTTCCCCCCTCCCCCTGCCCCCTCTGCGCGCCGCCAAGGCACTGGCGGCGAGCTCAAGCACCACCTGGAGAAGCACCGCCGCGGCGAGTCCGAGTGGCGTGCGAAGCTCATCGACCTGAACTTCGGGCCACAGGATTTCTAGGGGCGGGCCAGCGAGGGGGTGCCGAAGCGCACTGCCCCTTCAGGCCTCACCGAGCGCGCTCTACATCGCAGAGCGCCTACTCGCAAGCGTCCGAAAATCAGCGGAGGAAGAGGTACCCATACCGCTACCCTTCCCTCTGTTTCCCCTTTCTGGGGCTTCCTCGGAGGCCCTCGTCGCCACCGCTGGATTCGCTACGATATTCTGGTCAGAACGCACCCCAGGAGAGGTCCGGGAAGCAGCGGTATGTTACCTGGTGGTCTCCCCAGAGTCGTTCATGCTTGCCTCGATGGTATGGATCGTGAATGCCCCACGTCGGATCCAGGCCATTTGCGAGCAGTTACTCTCCGAGCAATGGAACGCGCGTGTCTGAGACCGCGGCCCTGCCGCGCCATCTGAGAAGCCCAGTTTGCGGCCAGCGGTGGGCCTGAGCCGGAGGGGGCGGGCGCGGCGCGGGGGAGCGCCCGGCCCCCTGCGCACAGCGGCCGCCGTGCTGTTCCAGCCTCGCCGTCTTAGAAGCCCGCCCGTGGCTGGACAGGACGACGACCACGACGACACACGACCGCGATAGCGACGACGACGTTCAAAGCACAGCGGCAACGACCACGAACGACAACACCACAACATGCGGTCGTTGCGTGGTGGTCCTTGTGTGGTCGTGGTCACTGCCGACGTGCTCCTGCCGTCGTCGTTGCTGCAGTGGGCGTGTGTCGTCGTGGTGTCGTGGTCGTCGCCTTGTCAGACTACGGGCGAGTGCTTCAACAAATCCCAGCGCGGGCAATTCAGCACTGCTTTGTGTCCTCCGTCGCGGCTAGGTCGGCATGCATGCTTGCAGAAACACAGAGTCTTGAGAAGGGCCGCGTGCGCTGCGCGCTGCGATTGGGTGACAGCGATGGCCAAGGCGGCGTCACGGAATCCTGTGGCCATGGACGAATTCCCGCGATGGCCACCGTCTGGCCCGATCAGCGTGATCCGCGCTAGTAGACACTCCCCATGAGAGCGACGAGGAGTGAGAACATGATACACGGTGGAGGCGGAGGATACGCGCCAAACTCGTCAAGCGCACCGTGTGCACCAAACACATGTACGCACGCCAGTCGCAACACGAACCAACAGCCCCATGCATTCCACGCATCCCTGCGAGAATTGCTGATCAGTTCCAGGTTTCGCCTGCCCATGTGCGTTTTTGAGGTCCGTCCTTTCTGCCATTACTGCTGCTGCTGCTGCTGTTCCTCCTCCTCCTCCTCCTCCTCGTCCTCCTCCTTGCTCCTCCTCCTCCTCCTCCTCCTCCTCCTCCTCGTCCTCCTCCTCCTCCTCCTCCTCCTCCTCCTCCTCCTCCTCCTCCTCCTCCTCCTCCTCCTCCTCCTCCTCCTCCTCCTCCTCCCATTCCTCCTCCGCCAGTTAGGTGGCTCCCCAGCGAGGCCCCGCGCAGCCGTTTCGCCCCGCGGCGGGCGCGGCCGGGCCCGCGATCACGGGACGCCCCCAGCGCCGAGGGAAGGCGCGAAGGCAGGCACCGCCGATGGCCGAAAGCGAGAGCTCGTGTGCGCCCCAGGGTTGGGAGAGGCGCCCAAGCAGCAGCCGACGGCGCGCGTGGCGGCGCCTGCGCCTGGCAACGAGCAGGCAAACGGAGCTGGACTTCAGCTGGCTCCTCAGCGCACAGCGGCAGTCTTGGGAGGCGAAGGTAGAGCCCGACGCCATCGCTGCAGCGCAGAAATCGGAGCGGGCGACGCAGCGACGACAGCCGAGGAGCCGCGGTGGGGCCCGCAGTGGATGCAGGACTACTCGGACGAGGCAGAAGAGGCCAGGAAGGCCGCGGAGGCTGAGAAGGCAGAGGAGGCCAGGAAGGCCGAGGAGACAGGGCAGTGGCAGCGTCGCGCGGGGAGCTCGTGTGAGAAGAACGGGCAAGAGGCAAAGCTGGAGCCCAATTACTCGAGCCACATTACTGGGAACTGCGAGTGCGAGAACTGGGACCACGGTGCGACCGTCAGCATCGAATGCCCTGGCCGGTCCTATTTATGGGAGTTGGAGTCCTATGAGGCCCTCTTGGACGACGGCTGGTTGGACGTCAGATTTTCTCCGTGCCTTTTCGGTGCCGACCACGACCTGCGCACTCGTTTTCGGTGTTACCCTCGGCGCCCGGGTCGGCTTGACGCACTTTGCGCATGGTCGCCCACCACTTCTTGCTACTCGTGTGGCCGTCTCCAGGCGCACCCACCTCGCGTGGTTGTTGGGGCCCCGTGTGCGCACCACGACGGGGTGGTGGAGGCGTGGGCGCAGGACATTCTGGGTTGGCACGTGGCGGAGCTGGCGGCGCCCACCTCCACCCCTCCCACGACTCACGGAGACCGCGCACCCGTTCCTCGGCACGCCAGTCGCGGCGTAGACACCCCTCAGGGGAGAGAGCTGCGGCGTCGCGAGGATTGCGCGTGCGCGGCTGGTTTACGGAATGCCGCTGCTGCTGCGCAGGCCGCACCTCGCATTCGCGAGGTGATGATGCGTGTCCGCGAGGCTGTTATCGCCGTCCGTAGTTCGGAGCCGTCGCTGCAGGTCCTCAGGAACTGTTGCGGCAGTTCGCCCAGCCGCCCGCCGCCCGGCAAGGACGTGCTGGTTCGTCTCCGCGCGGCCGTTGGTCGGGCGCTCGGCCTCGCAGCCCACGAGGTTCAGGCTGCCCGCTCCGCGTCGCCCATCTGCTTCCGCCTGGTCCAGGCCGTACTGCAGGCCGCGGGGGACTCTGACCAGGAGCTTGGACACTGGCTGGAGTTTGGTGCACCGATGGGGATCACGCGCCCTACCCGGCCAGGGGGCCACTTCCCATTGGCGGAGTCGCCGAACGTCTTGAGTCCAGCCGACTTAGCTGCGGGCGCCTTCACATTCACCTCCAACCATCCGTCTTTCGATGATTCCTACGGCGAGCCGGAGCCGCCCACGTTGGACCTCATTCGCGAGCACCTGGGCAAAGGCTTCGGCGAGGTGTTTGATGACGAGGCTGCCGCTGCAGAGCGATTCGGTCAGATCCCCCCTGCCCCATTGGGTAATGTTCGCAAGGCCCGGCCAGACGGCACATTTAAGAACCGCATCATACAAGATCTTTTGATCAATTGCGTGAATTTGGCGGCGTCCACACATGAACGGGTGGTCTTGCCCAGGGGCGTGGACCACGGGGCCGACCTGGCGGCGCTCGCCCGTCGGGCTGGCCAGATATCGGGTGGACAGGTCCAGGTTCTCATTCTTGATTTTCAAGACGCCTTTATGATGGTACCGATGCACGAAAGTGAACGTCGCTTCAACGTCGCCGTGCTGCGCGATCCCCCGTTGGAGGGGCGTGGTCGCGTCATCGCGCGGCGGGCCCTAGGCTGCGGAGGGAAGTCGAACCCTCTAGTGTACTCCCGCCTCGGCTCGTTCATTGCGCGATCCACGCAGGCTATGCTGTGCTCCGACGAATGCCGTCTACAGCTTTATGTGGACGACCCGGCGCTGACCCTCGCAGGTACCGAGGCGATGAACCAGCTGAACGCCGACGTCGCGCTGCGCTGGTGGCTCGCCCTGGGGCTGGGGCTCGCCTGGAAGAAGGGCGTCTTCGCAGTAGGAGGGCACCAGTGGATTGGCATCAGATTCGACATCGTAGGCGGCGTTGCTGAAATGTCTCTGCCGAGAGCTTTCCTCGATGACGTCGCCATCCTTCTGGGGCTGTTCGCGAGGCGCGGCGGCTTGGCCCCGCTATCGAAAGCGCGATCTCTTGTCGGAAAAGCTTCCCGGATTGCGCAAGTGGCCCCGGAGGCGACGCCATTTGTAGGGTCGTTATGGGCTGCACTGGCGGCCGCGGAAGCTGCTGCCAAATCGGCCCGTCCCGAGGCGCCTCCAGGCCGAGTGGCGGTCCGCCGATTCTCGGCGGCTGCCGCTTGGCTCTTGGCTCTGATTTGCGGAGCTGTTTTGCCTCTGCGCCGAGTGGTGCATGAATTTCCTGATGAATATCGGCTTCCTCTGGCGCCGGATCACATCGAGTTTGACGCCTCCCCATGGGGCGGCAGCGGCGTCCTCGTCCGCGACGGAACACCGATCCAATACTGGCACTGCACGTGGCCAGATTCGCTCTGCCGTCGTTTCGGCGCGGCCGTTGGGCTCCCGCAGTGGCAGACCCTCTGGGAGTACATCGCGGCGCTCGTGTGCCTGTTGGTCTGGGCAGACGATTTCGCTGTTGGCCAGTGCCTCACGCTCATGGGCGACAACATCGGCGCCCTTACTGGCGCGGCCCACTTTAGGGGCCGTCGCGAGCTCAACGCCGTTACGCGGGAGATTAGTTGGCGAAAGGCCGCATTTCAATGGAGCTACGTTGTAGCCCACCTCCCGTCTGAGGCGAACGACTGGGCGGATTCTCTCTCGCGGCTCGCAGCCGTCTCGCCGAAGCCCCTCCCTCAGGCGCTTCGGGCCGCTCAGGCTGCCCCCCCGCCGGCGCTCGACGTGATCTGGCGGACGTGGGTGGCGGATTGCCCGCCGCCTGCGCCGACTTTGACTCAGTTGCCGGCGGGCGAGGGCATGTAGGGCGCGGGATTCGCTTAGGCTACGCGCTGTGGGCCGCCCAAATACGCCGTCGCCATCCGACAGTTGCTTAGAAATGCCATTGTCTTTAATTCATCCCGGCAGGATCTCTCCGGCCATTTCGGCGCAAGCTCGGCCACTCCGCTTGCCGGCCCGCCCCTGGGTGTCCCGCCCATGCTGCGGCGCCGCCGGCGTAGGGAGGACTTGGTTCCGCTAGCCTCAACCCGCCCTCGGCGGGAGCTGGGGTCTAGTGCGGCTGCGGTCCCATTTGGGCCTTCTGCCAGGGGGGGTGGCCCCCAGCAGGGGTCTGGGACTAGCGCAGGGGCGCAATTCTCCAGGGGTGCGATTTCTGGCGCAGTACCTGGCCGCGCGGCTATCCCTGCGCTGCGGGCTGGCGCGCCTGGCCGGCAGGAGTACGCCCGAGGATCCATGCCGGACCTTCGGGAGGGATGCGCTCGCGCGCAGGCCATGGACGAGTTTTCTAGGGCAGTGTACGCGGATTCCTCCCGCGGGCCCATGGCGCCCAGGCTCAAGACTTGCGCAAATATGTTATCCATGTGGGGTATGGACATGGTCCCCCTGACCGTTGAGAAGATCATGGCTTTGGGCGCAAGTTTGAAAGCCGGTCGATACCGCTCGGCCCGGCTCTACCTCTCCGCGGCCAGGGTCGAAGCTGAACGGGGGGGCCACGCTCTGGGCGTCTGCGCGTCGAGGGCTCTGACCGATGCGACCCGGGCGCGTGAGAGAGGCTTGGGGCCCAGTTCCCAGGCCTCGCCACTACCGATGGAGGACTTGTACTTGTTACCCGATGGTGAGCAGCCGTGGGTACCAGGCGGTCCGGCTAACCTGAAGTGGATGATCATCGCCGGCGCGTGGTGGATGCTCCGGGAGATCGAGATCTCATGCACGAGGGCAGGCTTCGTCACCGGGGCTGGCTCCGGCCCTGCCTTGGAGGTGTCCTGGAACCTTCCAGCTTCGAAAACTGATTCAGAGGCGTTGGGTGCTACTCGCACTCATGGGTGTTGCTGCCACTCGGGCCGCTTCGGCCGCTTATGTCCAGCGCACACCGTTGCCTCCCAGGCCCATTGGTTAAAGAGGAAGTTCCCGGGGCGGTTTTCGGGAAGGATGCCCCTCCCCGAGCTCCCCCTATTCCCAGATCTCCTGGGGCAGCCCTGCTCTAAGGCGGCCGTTGCTGCGACCGTTGCGGCTGCTGCGGAGCATTTGGGTCTTCCTCGGCGGGGGCCTGGGGGGGGGGGGAAGTGGACAGGGCACGCCTTGCGGGTTACTGGAGCGCAGGGGTTGGCCAGGGCTGGGCTCGATTCTTGGGCCATTCAGCTTTTGGGCCGTTGGGGCTCTTCAGCCGTCCTCGGTTACACCCGCGAGGCTCCTCTCGAGGTTTCCGCTGGATGGGCACTGCAGGCGTCCTCGGGCAAGCGGCTGGAACCCTGGGGGGCTCCTGAGGGGCCCCAGACCAGAGGCAAGGGCAGCAAGCGTCGCCGCGTGTCTGGGGAGGCGGCGCCGGCACGGGACATCGCCAAGAAGGGCCCCGAGGCGGAGGAGCGCACAATTCTTGCGGAGCGCGTCAACGACCTCGAGGTTACAGTGGCTTCCTTGCGCCAGAGGCCGGAGCTCGAAACCGCCAGCGTCAGGCGCGTGTGCACGGATGGCCCCGAGTTTGTCGAGAACGTTCGGTCCTTGGTCGTACATCGCGCGCAGTTCGGCGCCTACCAGGCTGACCCGGGTTCTTGGCGAAGCTCGCGCGGCTGGCACTTCGGGTTGAGCAGCCACCGCCGTGTAGAGGCCATTCCCAAATTACACAAGCTAATCTGTGAAAAATGTTTCCCTGCAGAAAGGGAGGCAGCTAAAGCTGCGCTTCGCGCTTCTCTGTCTGCGGCTGTGTGCGGCGGTCCATAATCGCAGTATGGGGCGCGGGAGCTTCGGGGATTTCCCCTTTGAGAGCTCCGTCGATTTGGCCCCCCACATTGGAGCGAGGACGCATGCCGCCATAGATCCAAAAATGGGCCCCCTATCTCTTGGGTGGTTTGGGTGGGCAGACGTACAGAATTTGTTCAAACTGCACGGGAACCGAATGCAGGCCGTAACAATTCTGGGAGTCGATGGTTGCCACTGGAAGACACATGTGCCCAGTGTTTTTGCGAACATGTCTGTGTTGCTACTGGGTATATCTTCACCTCTGTCTTCAAGCCGAGAGGGCTGCGGACATGTTTGTGTTGCTACTGGGTCTATCTTCACCTCGGTCTGAACTTGAATTCCTCACTGGGGCACGTCAGGGGCCAGATGAGTAGCAATCGGCATCTGCATCATTGCTTGTCACTGTGCTCATGGCCATTTTGGGTTCGAGCGACAAGCAATAGGGAATTGCTCCCAACCCGACCCTCCCCTGTAATTAATGTTTAGGGGGCGCGGGAGCTTCGGGGATTTCCCCTTAGAGCTCCGGCGATTTGGCCCCCCACATTGGAGCGAGGACGCATGCCGCCATAGATCCAAAAATGGACCCCTATCTCTTGGGTGGTTTGGGTGGGCAGACGTACAGAATTGTTCTGGGAGGCTACGATAAGGCCAAACACCGCCAGCTACAGCGCAGGGATCAGGGCGTGAGAAGGACGGGCCGCGGCAGCACCGAGAGGGCGACGACTGCACGCGCGAAAAGGAAGCCTCGACGGACAGGCAGCGGTCGCCTCAAGCAGTGGCAGCCGAAAGGGGGCGGGCCTTGTGCGTGCGAGAAGAGCGGGCAGCGGCAGCTCCGTGAGGACCAGGACCGACCTTGCGAGAAGCACGGGCAGTAGCAGCCTCAGGAAGTCGGATCCCGCGTGTGCAAGAAGGACGGGCAGTGGCAGCCTCAAGCGTGGAGGGGGCCAGGGCGGCCGCCAGAAGAGGGTGCTTTTCTAGTTCTGGCAGGGGCCAGGGCTTGTGAGAAAGGCGGGCAGTGGCAGCCTCAAGCGCGCGAGAAGGACGGGCAGTGGCTGCCTCAAGTGGGCGGACAGTGGCAGCCTTCGGCGGACGGGCAGTGGACGCCCCACGAAGACAGACATTGCGCGCGCGAAAAGAGCGCGCAGTGCGAGAAGGACGGGCAGTGGCAGCAGAGGGCGAAGGACGAGCCTGGGAACAGCGCGCGCGCGGGAGGCGAAGGTAGAGCCCGACACCATCGGCTTCAGCGTTGGGACCAGGACGCGCGAGAAGGGGCAAGCGAAGCTAGAGCCCAATATCGCCAGCCACAGCGCTGGGAGCAGCGCGCGCGAGAAGCGGGAGGCGAGGGCAGAGCCCGAAATCATCAGCTACAGCGCCGGGGCCAGGCCGCGCGAGAATGGGCAGGCGAAGCTAGAGCCCAATATCGTCAGCTACAGCGCTGGAAGCAGCGCGCGCGAGAAGGAGTGCGGGAGATGGATCAGCCAGGCGATGTGGACAGCGCGGCGGGTCATCGCCGGCAAGTGGCTGTCGTACCAGTCGAGGCCCACACGCGAAGCTGAGGCAGAGCAGCAGCAGAGGGCGCTGCACAGGCCGCACATCACGGCCTGCGCAAAACGCAGGGCTCGCGAGGGAAGGGAGCGCCCAGCCAAGCGCTGAGACGCGGAGCGCCAGGGAGCGGGCGCGGCAAGCGGCGGGGTTCTCTGCTACTAACCCTGCACACCCCGCCGCTGCCATGGAGCCCCCCCCCCTCGGCGAGGGCAGGGGCAATTGTCCGCGGACGCTGCCAGCTCGCGCGAGAAGGGCGCCGCGACGGCAGCGGCAGCCTCCGCGCGAGAAGGGGCGCCCGAGAGGGCGCGGACGGGCAGTGGCCGCCCTGCGAGGGCATAGTGGCTGCCTGTGCGAGAAGGGCCGTCGCGTGTTGGACAGGCCCGCGCGAGTCGCGGTGCCCGCAGGCGAGGGCGCGGCCGCGGGGCCGCGGCGTGCCCCCCCCCACCCCCACCCACCCACCCCCCACCTCCCTCCTCCGCGCGACCCCAGTCGCAGTCGCCCCGGGAAGTGTTTTCGAAGTGTCTCCTCCTCCGCCAGTTCCTCATGTTCCTCCTCCTCCTCCTCCTCCTCCTCCTCCTCCTCCTCTTCCTCCTCCTCCTCTTCCTCCTCCTCCTCCTCCTCCTCCCCCTCTTCCTCTTCTTCCTCATCAGCAGCATCGTTATCGACCTCGTCGTCGTCGTCGTCATATCCATCTTCAGCCGCATCAGCATCAGCGTCATCGCCATCATCACCAGCAACGTCATATCATAATCAACATCAGCACCATCACCAGCATAATCAGCATCCGCACCACCACCATCAGCATCGTCCGAATCATGGCCATAAACAGCATCATCCGCATCATCACCATCACCATCACTATTCTCATCATCGGCATCGTCATCATCATCAGAAGCAGCACCATCATCATCCGTATCCAGCTCCCCGTTCCCCTCGATGCCACCCTGGCGAAACAGTCCGAAGCGCAGGACAAGGTGACGTCACACGACAGCGAGGTATGTCGCGATGCCTGCTGGAAGCCGCATCTGGGGTTTCAGGGGCACCGTGTCGGATGCCCCTCGTCGATCTGCTGGGGTCGGCCCCGAAGGCCTCAAGGCCGCCCGCGAGGCTTTCTGGACTGGCAGGGGGATCTTGGATCGTGGGCCCGCGCAGTCGTTCTTGCGGCGGCGCGCCCAACTTTTGTGATTTCGTCTGGCAGCCAAGACTCGGGCATGTTGTTGGTGTGCATCCTGTGCGGGCCTGTCTTGAGCAGTTTGGGTTATGATGTCCCAACCTACTTTTAGCTTTGATCACCAGAAAAGTCAGAAACAAAAACAAGCACCAAATCGAAACTGGAGGGTTCCCACGTGCCGCGGACCCTGGGAGGCGATACTCGTTCGACACTTCGCCAGCGTGTCGGGCGGACACTGTTTCGATGCTTCTCTGGGCGCCTGAACTACGACGGGAACGACACAACGATTGGCGCTGCTCTGGGCGTCCTGGCCGCGTCGTGGCCGCCTTGCGGGTTTTCTCTGAAGGCGTTCTCTTGGGAAGGGGGGGGGCGTCTTGGGCCGCTCGAGCGCTGCTTGGGGGGGGGGCCTTGGAGGCTGCCCTGGGAGGCCAGGGGGAGATCGCTCCTTGCCTGTGGCGGCAGCGCAGGAGCACCAGAAGACAGCTTGAAACGTGATGTGTGCAGCCTGCCGTTCGAGCACCGGCTTGGATCGCATCGTCGATCGCTCCTTGAGCCAGGGCGCCCAGGAAAAGAGCGATCGACGATGCGATCTTAGCCGGCATTCCATCGACACAGTCAAGGCAAGTATTTCCATCACAAATACTGCCAGGTCCCGTCTCAAGGACTTCCCTGGTCCCCTGCCCGCCTGGATCGCGGGCTTTCGGTACTACCGCAAGGTCTGCCGCTTCATGGCCTCTTCCTTGTACGTGGGCTGCCCACGTGGCTGCACGACTTCGGCACGCCCGTGTAGAACGGCATGTCGATTGTCCAAGAGGGCCCCAGGATGGCGAGCTAGACACGCCCAGACAGAGCGGCACAGCGCCGAACGAACACCGCGGGAACTATACGCATCCTCTTCTTTGCGTTTCTCCTCCTCGCAAGTCAGGCCCACTTGTTCTCCAAGGTTGGGGAGGTTGGGGATCGTGGCAATATCGGGTTTGGGACCTGGGACCCCCCAGGAGGGAGGCGCATTTGGGCGGCATCTCCTCCGGGACCCCGCCCGGGACACCCCCACCCGACGAGGGAGGGATCAAAGGGAAGGGGCTTCCCTTCGATTGAAGTACAGCGTTATTGGATTTCGCTTTGGCTGGCGCGCTTGGGGAAGAGGGCCCAGGACAGGGAGGGGGCGGCGACGGGCCCAGGGAAATGGGTGCCGCAGAGAAAGGAACCGGCAGAGACGACCCACGAACGACGAAGAGGACGATTCGAACGGACACCAAGTGCATGTTGCGATGATTGTTGACAGGGATGGTCGGGGGGGTGTCGTCATTGGTCCTGGTTTGTCGACTGTCGGGTTGGGGAGGGGTGCATACTCATAAGGGGCAGTGACAGCACTCCTCCCCGGAAAGGGGAAGTAGGCGTGTTGGAACAGAGGAGACATGAACTCGTTACACCACCTGCGCCCAGAGGGCGGACGGGATTGGGCACTGTGGAGTTGTGCATGACGGCCGCCCTGGGGCGCGAGGCTGGCTGCGCCGCGCGACCCTCCCGAGGTCTGGGTCAGGAGCAGTTCGCCCGCAGGCTCGTGGAGTCTTCCACGGCATTGATCGACTGCACGTAAGGGTGGCCTTTCGCCGGAGTGACCTTTGGTGCGGGCCCATTGGGGTCCCCCGATCGCCGAGAGCGATGGGGCAGTAGCGTCTTGCGCGCTTGTGATTGGCCCCCCCGCGGCCCCCCAAAAGCCTTGCACCAAAGGTCACGCTAATCCAGGGTCACTCCTGCGTGTAGCCGAATTGACAAGGAACTGCCGGGGCACGCCGGTCCAGAGCCTTCTCGTCGAGCAGGCCCCATTTGGGGCCTCGGCTGCGCCCAGGGATTTATTTGCGCCGTCTGGCTCCGAGGGGCCTGGACCGATCGTTGAGCGGCCGCCGCGCCCCCTGGATGCTCCAGGGATCTCGGCCGCACCTCGGGCCTCTGGCGGCCGCTCGGGGCGAGCTGGGCATCCCCCCGAGGAGGAGGAGGAGGAGGAGGAGGAGGAGGAGGAGGAGGAGGAGGAGGAGGAGGAGGAGGAGGGAGGAGGAGGAGGAGGAGGAGGAGGAGGAGGAGGAGGAGGGCGAGGCGCAGCTGCCCGACGGCACCCCGAGGCTGGACGAGCCCCTTGGGGACCGACGAGAGCGCCCGAGAGAGCCTCGACGGAGACCTCCCCACGGCTTGTTCGGAGGTCCTGCCCCTCGACCCGCCCGCGCTGGCCGGCCTCCTCCCCGACCCGCCTCTTCCCCTCTGCTGCCACCAGCGCGCCCTGCTCGGGTCCCTTGGCGCCGCCTGGGCCCGAGCGCTCGGACACGAGCGGCCGCCGCGCCGAACCTTGGCGTCGCTCCTGCGTGTGCGTTTTCACTCGGCGAGAACCATCGAGGAGCATTTTGTGGAGCATTTTGCAAAAATCGGAGAAGAAAATTACCCTGTGACGTACCCAATCCGTTTGTATCAATGGAAACGAGGAGTTGGCTGAAACTTGTATGGACAATCAACTTGATGTGTAAGCTACTTGGGAGGCGTCACTGTGCTGGGCCCCGCAAGCAGGCCTCGAAAGTGGCGACAGTTTCACAGATCGCAGCCCCCCAAGGATGGCGAGGTCTAATTTGAATCTGCGTGTGGCGTCACTGCGCTGGGCCCCCCAGCAGGCCTCGAAAGTGGCGACAGTTTCACAGATCGCAGCCCCCCTGGGATGGCGAGGTCTAATTTGAATCTGCGTGTGGGTACCCACTGTGCTGGGCCCCTCAGCAGCCCTCGAAAGTGGCGACAGTTTGACAGATCGCAGCCCCCCAGGGATGGCGAGGTCCAATTTGAGTCTGCGGTGGGTACGGTGAGGACCCACTGTGCTGTGCCCCTCAGCAGCCCTCGAAAGTGGCGACAGTTTCACAGATCGCAGCCCCCCAGGGATGGCGAGGTCTAATCTGAGTCTGCGGTGAGTACCCACTGTGCTGGGCCCCTCAGCAGCCCTCGAAAGTGGCGACAGTTTCACAGATCGCAGCCCCCCAGGGATGGCGAGGTCTAATTTGAGTCTGCGGTGAGTACCCACTGTGCTGGGCCCCCCAGCAGCCCTCGAAAGTGGCGACAGTTTCACAGATCGCAGCCCCCCAGGGATGGCGAGGTCCCATTTGAGTCTGCGGTGAGTACCCACTGTGCTGGGCCCCCCAGCAGGCCTCGAAAGTGGCGACAGTTTCACAGATCGCAGCCCCCCAGGGATGGCGAGGTCCCATTTGAGTCTGCCGTGAGTACCCACTGTGCTGGGCCCCCCAGCAGGCCTCGAAAGTGGCGACAGTTTCACAGATCGCAGCCCCCCAGGGATGGCGAGGTCCCATTTGAGTCTGCCGTGAGTACCCACTGTGCTGGGCCCCCCAGCAGGCCTCGAAAGTGGCGACAGTTTCACAGATCGCAGCCCCCCAGGGATGGCGAGGTCTAATTTGAGTCTGCCGTGAGTACCCACTGTGCTGGGCCCCCCAGCAGGCCTCGAAAGTGGCGACAGTTTCACAGATCGCAGCCCCCCAGGGATGGCGAGGTCTAATTTGAGTCTGCCGTGAGTACCCACTGTGCTGGGCCCCCCAGCAGGCCTCGAAAGTGGCGACAGTTTCACAGATCGCAGCCCCCCAGGGATGGCGAGGTCCCATTTGAGTCCCACTGTGCTGGGCCCCCCAGCAGGCCTCGAAAGTGGCGACAGTTTCACAGATCGCAGCCCCCCAGGGATGGCGAGGTCCCATTTGAGTCTGCCGTGAGTACCCACTGTGCTGGGCCCCTCAGCAGCCCTCGAAAGTGGCGACAGTTTCACAGATCGCAGCCCCCCAGGGATGGCGAGGTCCCATTCGAGTCTGCCGTGAGTACCCACTGTGCTGGGCCCCCCAGCAGGCCTCGAAAGTGGCGACACTTTCACAGATCGCAGCCCCCCAGCTGGCACGCAGCGACGAGCGAGGCGAAAAGCAAGGGGGAAGAGAGGGGCGGGAGGGGGTGGGAAGGAGACGCGCGAGCAGTGCTCTTTTCAAAACGAGAACCCAACGCAGGAGGGTTGGGAAAAAAATTGTAAGCATAGACTTTTGGCGCTCCGCGCGGATTTCTTGGATCCGCGGGGGCCCCCCTGGCGGCGCCTCCGGCGCCGCCCCTGGCGCGCTCCGCGCGCCAGAGAAAGGCGCCCATCGCAAATCCAAGGAACGCGCGCGGAGCGCCAAAAGTTTATGTTTATGCCGTTGTTTGCTTTTCTATAGATACGTATGCATACACAGACCTACGTATGTATGAGTGTATAAATGTATGTGTAATGATTTGGTTTGGGAAAGCAGCAACAACAACAACAACAGCAGCAGCAGCAACAGCAGCAGCAGCAACAACAACAACAATAACAGCAATAGCAGCAACAACAACAACAACAATAATAAAAACAAAAACAAAAAACACAAAAAAGGAGAAACAAAAATGATGATGTGTATGAATCAATAAACGTATACATGATGATTTGTCTTGAAAGGAACAACAACAGCAATAACAACAACAACCAAAAAAACAAAACAAAACAAAAAAAACAATAACAACAACAACAACAACAACAACTACTACTACTACTACTACTACTGCAAACAAACAAACAAACAAACAAACAAACAAACAAACAAACAAACAAACAGCAACAACAAAAAAAAAAGCGCGAGGTCGAAAAACGCACGGGGACTTGACGCCCGAGCGACGGCGAGCGCGCGGCCGCCCGCCGCCCGCCCGCCCGCGAGCGGCCCGAGGGGCGCGCCGCGGGCGGCCGCGGAGGCCCCCGCGGGCCTCGCAACGGGCCCCGCCGCGCGCGCGCGCGCCGGGCCCTGGGAGGCACCGCCCCGCCGTGGCCGCGCGGGCGGCCCCCTCACGGCGACGGCGACGACGACGACGACGACGACGACGACGACGACGACGACGAGGACGAGGACGAGGGCGAGGGCGAGGACGACGAGGGCGAGGACGAGGACGAGGGCGAGGGCGAGGACGAGGACGAGGACGAGGACGAGGACGAGGGCGACGGCCGCGCGGGCGGGCGCCTGAGAGATCCTGGCGTCGCCCTGCTCGTCGCAGCGGGCGAGTCCCAGATCCCCTCGCGGCATGGAAAAACCACGACGGGCTGCTTTTCGCTCTTTTGGTGCAGCTGGGGGACCCTACCGGGCCCCAGGACCGTCCAGAAACGACGCGGGATGAGACACTGGTCCCGGGGAAGGGGTCCAGACCTCCGGGGATCCACGTCATGAAAAACCACGACGTCGGGGGTCTGGGCAGCGGGCGAGTTGCTGCCCGGTTTCGGGCCGGGGCCCTCACGGCCCGCTCCCCCCGGGAAGTTCGGCCATCTGCGTGGGAGTGGCCCTTCTCCAGAATAGCCTTGGGTGCGGGCTTACCAGGGTACCACGATGGCTGAGCGCGGTGCGACAGTGATTGCCTGCGCACATGACCTTGGCCACCCGGCGCCCCCCTTGATCGGCGCACGAAAGGCCACTCTTGCCCAGAGTCACTCTTGCGTGTAGCCGAGAGCTGATGCAGAAGGATGTGGTCCTGGGCTCCGGTCGAGGTTTTTGTCCGCGATGCTGCGGCTTGTGTCACACGTGGCTCCCCAGGGGTCTGGACCCCTTCGTTGAGGCCGGCTTCTCATCCTGACCTGTTTGTGGACGGTCTTGCGGCCCAGTGCAGGGCCCCCAGGGGCCGAACATGTGCAAAAACCGCTCGTCGTGATCCGGCTCTTCTGCGAAGGGATGGCCCTGGGAGGCTCGGACCCCCCCGTCCCCGCGCCGCGATCTTCATAGCTGCGGAAGGTTTTCTGACGATCTCGGCTTCTCGAGGCCCTCACCGGGCCCCGGGGCGGAGGAGGAGGAGGAGGAGGACGAGGAGGAGGAGGAGGAGGAGGAGGAGGAGAGGAGGAGAAGGAGGAGGAGGAGGAGGAGGACAACGAGAGGGGGGAGGAGGAGGAGGAGGAGGAGGAGGAGGAGGAGGAGGAGGAGGTGGTCAAAAAGCTGCTCGGGGTGAAGAACCGGGCCCCGGGGCGGTCAGAACGCTGCTCGGCATGAAAAATAACGACCCCGGCACGCGCAAGAAAAACTGCACGGCCGGCACGCGCAGCCTCCTGTGAGGCCCCTGAAGCTGCACCGGTACAAATCTTCTGTCGGGCGTGTCCCCCTACAGAGGGATTTTCGACGAAAAACAAAAAACGCCCAAAAATACCCCAAAAAGGCCAAAAAGTACACAAAACATTGTCCCCAGAGGTATTCTTTATTTTTCGTCGAAAATCCCCCTGTAGGGGGGCAGGCCCGACTTCATGCAAATCTGCCGGCCACGTGCTGCAGCCGGAGAGCTCCACCGGCGAAGTCGGCCGAGGGAGGGTGGAGGAGTGCATCGCCTGGGTCTCGGCAGCGGTCGGGCGTGTGCCTCGTTCCTCGGCGAGGACCATCGAGGAGCATAGGGGAGCAAAAAGTGGCATAAACATAAAAACTCGGAGGTCCGCGCGGATTTCTCAGATCGGCGCTGGTCGTTCCTCGGCGAGGGCCATCGAGGAGCATAGGGGAGCAAAGAGTGGCATAAACATAAAAACTCGGAGGTCCGCGCGGATTTCTCGGATCGGCGCTGGGGCGCCCTGGCGGCGCCTCCGGCGCCGCCCCTGGCGCCATCCGCGCGCCAGGGAGGGCGGTCCAGCGCCGATCTGAGAAATCCGCGCGGACCTCCGAGTTTTTATGTTTATGTCACTTTTTGTTCCCATAGAGCAGCCTGGATCATCGAGCCCCCCCAAAAGGCACGCAGGAAATCGGCGGGCGCACGGGGAGTGGGCGTCCGAGCGAGGGTAAGGGGTGCAGAGGCCTCCAGGTGCTCTCGAAAACAAGAAGCTGGACCTTCGGTGGTCCGCTGTGCGAAGCAACGGCGGCGGCGGAAGTTCTGGGGAGAGGGCAAGCCTGGCTGCAGAGGGCGAGGGCAGCCCTCGCACCGGGCAGTTTCCAGGCCTCGCCGGGCGAGTGGCTCCAGAGCGGGCCATCCCCTTTGGATCGATAAGCTGGCACCCCTTCCTCGGCGGAGAGGCAGGCCTTGGTGTGAATATGCTTCGGCGATGCCAGCGCTCAAGAATCTGGACCATGTTGGAGCACCTTGGATATTCTTGAGAAAAGTCAGGAGCGAAAGAGGGACACACACGTACCTGATTCCACGTTGTTATCACGCGGCCGGTCTCGTGGATTTCGGGGCCGTGTTCATGTACGTGGTTGGGCGTGTACGTCTTTTGTGGGCTTTCCTGAAAACGCACGAGACCAGACCAGCAGAAGCCAGCGAAAGCACAAAGCTGCTTTCCCAGAGATTCGACTACACGTAAGATTGATCCTTCGCCGGAGTGACTTTGACCCCGCGCCGCCGGTTGAGCCGCGCACCAAAGGTCACTCTTGCCTGGGGTCACTCGCGTGAGTAGCCGAGAGATGGCAGTTTTCTTCGGTTTAGGGGTGTCTGGAGTTGGTCGAATGGGTGCAGGAACAGGTGGGGTCCGATGCCATATGCATCGGCTACGCCGCTCAATTTTGAGCCCGATTTTCTCCACGCCGACGCCGCCAATGCATCGCCGATGCTTCGACGATGCTTCGCGGATGCATCGCGATCCTTCGGAGCCATTTAGTACGACCCCCGTCTGGGAGGCCTCCCCAGATAGCGATGCAGGAGGTGGGCCTTCTGACAGGGCGTGGCCGTCGAGAATCGGGAGTGGAGGGTGCAGGGCTCTTTCTGGGTATGACTCTGCCGATCGAGCACGCTGGCCCATCCATTTGGTCTGGGAGATATGGTGAGAGATGCTTGCCGTGAATTGTGCATCCCTTCGGATGTCCTAGAGCTGAATACAGTGGGGGCGCGCATCAAGAAACCATTTGAGTTTCGTGAGGGTACCCTGGATTTCTTCGTTCCACTCGCTGCGCGGTGACTTCCCGCGGCCGTCAAAGAAGCTGATTCGTTCAGGATGCTCGGGTTTTTCCCTCAGGCGCACCTCGCGCGCGGGTTTCCAGGGTTGGGTTTCTTGCGAGGGTTTCTTGCGACCGCGCCCGCACTGTATCCCATTGTGGCCACAACCAGTCTGCATACCAGGTCTGGACCCGTTGTTTCCAAAGAGTTGTTCCAGTCAGTGGGGCGCGAGACAGAGCATATGCTGTTCTGTAGCTGCTTCTGCCGCTGACTTAGCAGCGACGTTCCTAGCACCACTGCATGCGCTGTCATTGACGCCATATTTGGCCTTGTGCTGCTTCGGACATTGTTGCTACAATTGCCTTAGCCGCTGCTGCCGCCACCACTGTTGCTGTCTACACCCATCAGAAATCTTGAGAAAAAGCGGCCACGTTCGTTACAGAAAGTGAGGAATCTTGACTGGGCCCCGACGTTTTCTTGGAGCCTCTCCTCTTCGTAGAATGTTCGTATGTGTGGACCTGGACTGCGGGCTCAGAAAAAGCTTTTCGAGTGAAGTGCACTTTCTTAGCCCGAGATCCTCTTGACTATGACCAGGGGGTGTATGTGCCATTGTCGTTTCCATCATCGTGGCCACTACTGCTGGCATCGCTGTACCCGGTCCCGCGAGCAAGGCGGCAGGCCCGTCCTCGCTGTGAGCTGCATGGGCTGCTGCTCCTCCAAGAAGAGCGCGGCCTGGGAGGCCGCGCGGAGAGAGCAGGAGGAGCAGGTGCCACGCGGGGCCAAATGGAGCGCTCCAAACAGGGCCTCGCTTTCGAGGGTAGAAGGAGTTGTCATCGCGCGGCCTCCTGCGGACCAGCTTCGGGCCCCCCTTGTCTGCCGGGCGGTGCCCGGACACTCGGTGGCCGCACTCAAGTCTGCAGTTAGACTGTTGTTGGACAGGAGCGGACAGGGGTCAAAGTCAGAGTGAGGGGGGGGGCGAACGGTCCCTGGGCGCATGGCTGAAGTTGGGTTCCGCGATGCGGGCTACGCATTACATTGCTTTGCATTGTTTCGCATTGCCGTGCACCGCTTTGCACGACATAGAATGCACCACATACACGTCACCACCCAGAGCGTACCACATTTATTGCACCATTCAGATTGCATTGCATAGATTGCAAGAAATCGCTGTTCGGGGTTCACGCTGGCTATCATCATCGTTGCGAGTATTGCCGTCGTCGCCCGCCCCGCGCTACGTCGTGCGCCCGCGCCCCGCGACCCACCCCGCGACCTACCCCGCAACCCGCCCGCGACCCACCCGCGACCCACACCCGCGACCCACACCCGCGCCCAACACTCGCCACGCACGCCCGCGCCCCAACCACACATCACGGTAGCCCCAAAATTAGATCAGGGGGAGACCCCCCCCATCCTCTCAGGGGTCCCGTCGGCGACACTTACCGATAGGACCACCCTTCGGGTAATAAGGATGTTTGGGGGGGGGGGAGGGGGAGGCGATCGACTTGCGATGGCTCTGAGTTCGTGGTGGCGATGGAGGTGGAGGTGGTGGCCGGTGGCGATGTTATATCTGTATATACATATATAAATACATCTCTACCGATCTCTCTTTCTATCGATCTGCAGATATATCCCTCTATATATGTATATATATGTATAGATGTCCAGCTATCTTTCTGATTATATATAATGGTCTACCTATCCATTCATTTATATAGAAAGTATATGTACACATTTCCCGTTACCTATGTCAATCGATGCTTCCATATATATATATATAAATATATATATATATATATACATATATACAAATATGTATATATAAGATATTCAAATATCTATCAATCCATCTATCCATCTATCTATATTTGTTTCCTTCCTCAGGAATCCACCATCGGGACACCATCGGGCCAACCATCAGGACAACCATCGGGACAACCATCGGGACAACCATCGGGACACCCATCGGGACAATCATCAGGACAACCATCGGGACAACCATCGGGACACCCGTCGGGACAACCGTCGGGACAACCGTCGGGACAACCATTGGGACAACCATCGAGTCAACCATCGGGACAACCATCGGGACAACCATCCGGCACACCATCGGAGCAACCATCGGGACAACCATTGGGACAACCATCGAGACAGCCATCGGGACAATCATCGGGACAGCCATCGGGACAACCACCATCGGGCACACCATCGGGTCATCCATCGAGACAACCGTCGGGACAACCATCGGGGGCCGCGCCTGGCCGGGGGGGGGCTCCATGTGGCCTCTACAACTGCAGGAGCTCGCGCAGCTTCGCCTTGCCCGCACGCACAGCACGATCCGAAACCGAAACCGATTTCCCCGTTGGGATCACTTCCGTTCACACCCCCCAACCTTCGATATTGTCCTTTTCCCTGGGGCCTTCACCGTCGTCGTCGTCGATATTTTACTGCTCAAAATTTCGGTACTATTGTTTGTTGTTGATAACGAAACCCTTGGGCTCACATGATTTGCAACACGGGCAGCATCCCTTGTGGCGTGCTGGCCATGTTCGAAGTCGGTGCCTGTGGTGGGCTCCTTTCCATTGGCGTTTGGCTCTCGCGACCCGCCGACGATCCGCCCCAGCCAGACATCCGGCCCCTCCATCTTTTCGATGCGTGAGCCCCCGGGGTCTGGACCCCTTCCCCAGGGCCAGTTTGTCGTCCTGTGTGGTTTGTTCACGGTTCCGAGGCCCGGAGAGGGCCCTTGGAGCTTGAAAACGGCCAAGCACCCGCCGCTCCAATTTTATCGGAGCGTCGTATCGAGGTCTAGTTTTTCGTCCTGAGTCGTTTTTGACGGTCCCCAGGCCCGGAGAGGGCCCCTGGAGCCCGAAAACGGCCAAGCACCCGCCGCTCCAATTTTTGTCGGAGCGTCGGATCTCCTGGGCGTAGCCCCTCCAGACTGCTCTGCAGACGGCCCCCGCGCCTGCCGCGGGGAGCTCGCTCCTGCACAGAATGGCGCCTGCGGCGGGCGCTTCTGCTTGCGCAAGCCTTACGGCCGGCCCCGCCGACCCTGACGGGGGACTCACTCGGGGGTGGACAGAACCCCCACCCTGGTGAATTGTCCGTTTTTGGCTTCTCGAGAGGGCGCCGCGGCCGTGATTTTCCATGCTTGCGCCCGCCAGGTTCGGGCCCGAGGTCGTTTTCACTAAACCACGTTTTACTTCAGGGTTGTCTGCCCATCCCCGAACGACGACGACGACGACGACGACGACGACGACGACGACGACGACGACGACGACGACACCGGCGGCGGCTGCGACGATGACGACGCTGACGCGGGCCAGCTGGCAGAAGGCACCGGCGCCCGCGGCGGGCAGGCCGCTTCTGCACAGCGGGGCGCCTGCGGCGGGCGTCTCTGCGTTCGCGCTCGCGCCCGGCAGCCGCGAGTCAGGGCAGCCGGGATGCCCCCTGGCGTCCTCTCGCTGTGGAAGTTCGGCCTCCAGGGGGCCCCCGCTGGGCCCTGGGGCCGGCCAGCAGCAGTTCTCGGCGGCGAGCGAGGGGGGAAGTGAGAGGGAGAAGGCCTTCGCAGAAGGCGGCGGGGCTTCTCAGATGCCCTCTGGCCTTCTGAGAAGCTTTCTGCGTCTTCGGGGAAAGCTTACAAAGCATGTCAGAAAGCCGGGGGGCCTCCGAGCCTTTTGGGCAGGCCCGCCCTTTCTCACTTCGCCCCTTGGCTCGCCGTCGAAATTCGGGACGAAAAATCGGTCCCCGAGAGGGAGTCCAGACCTCCAGGGGTCCGCGTCGTGAAGGATCACGACCGCGGATGTTTGGGTTATTCTTGACGCTCCCCCCTAGCCCCATCAGTCCATCCGGAAACGATGCCCAGTCGAGTTGCCAGCAGAATGGAGAGATCAACACTGGTGAGCTTGGAGACCCCCAGGACACATCGCGTGGTGGCCCGTCCAGACCAAAGGGGGTAGGGGCACGAGTAGACTCCGATCCCCGAAGGGAAGAAAGGGGGGCTGGGAGTTCGCGAGGCATGCTTGGGATGGTTTCTGCGAAGTCTCGGCCCCTGCATGGGACACCTGGAGTCCCCAGGGGCCAGGGAGCCACGACACGAATGCCCCTCTCAAGGGCCAGGGGCTCAGGCGAATCAGTTGAGATAGGCACTGGCCAGGAAGGAAGAGTGGGGAGCACAAGAAGGAGGAGGAGGAGGAGGAGGATCAGAGTAAATCCAAGGTGCATCAGCGGTGCTCGAGCACACCCTCACTTCCCAAGTCCCCTCATCAGCCGTCCCTGCATCCGAAAGGTGCAAGACATGTCCAGCGGTGACCCTGTTTGAAAAATAGCCTGGCCTCCATTTGAGTAGGTGTTGCACAGATGTACAGGGGCAGCAACTTAGAGTGACGAGGTCTCCCGCGAAAGGCCAGCAGGTGCAACAGGTGCACGAAGTCATGATTCTAGCCGAAATTAGCCTGGCGAAGGACCCAACCATATGTAGTTGTGAATACCGCAATTATGGGTATTGTATTCGCTGGAGCTCCCTATGGGGCCACGAAACGCTGCACTGGGTGGGAGACGCATGCGAAGTTTGCCACTGGGGCCTTCGGTGGAGGCACTGGGTGGGGGAGACGCATGCGGACTTTGCCACTGGGGCCTCCGGTGGAGCTCCCTGCCACGCAAGCCAGCTGCGCGAGCTGCTTCTCTACCCGGCCCTCTGCGATCCTACCCCTTCGCCCCCCCCCCCCCCCCCTGGCCTCGGTGCCGCCTTCCGGGCCCGATGGGCTCCGAGCAGGCGGGGTCGGAGGGCCACGCCGACGTCGCCGATGCATCGCCAATGCTGCGGGATGTGGGGCCCGAGTGTCTCCACGCCGACGTCGCCGATGCGTCGCCGAGGCGGCGCGGTCGTTCCTCGTCCTGGCCCGCGGCCTCCTCCGCGTGGCGCCTCCCTCCCGGTGCACACGGCCTCCCGACGGCACACCTCGGGGGGAGGCGCGGGCCTCGGGCCTGCCTGGCGTTGTCGTCTCGGCTCGGTGCAATGTGTGGTGTGCAGTTCGCTCTGGCCGTCCTGAAGCTGTCCTCTCCGCTGCTCGTGCAAACATCCCACCCTCCCGCCCGCAGCTTGGTCGCAAGACCTCTGAAGACCGTGGCGGTGGGTACCAAATGGCACTTGGCAGCGACACCGACGACGACGACGGCGACACCGACGACGACGACGACGACGACGCCGACGACGACTACGACGACTTCGGCGACGGCGACGACGACGACGACGACGACGACACCGACGACGACGACGGCGACGAGGGAGGAGGGAGGACGACGACGGCGACAACGACGACAATGACGAGGGAGGAGGGAGGACGGCGACGACGCGAACGACGAAGAAGGAGGGAGGACGGCGACGCCGACGACGACAACGACAAGGGAGGAGGGAAGACGACGACGACGACGACGACGACGACGGCGACGAAATAGGAGGGACGACGACGAGACGCCGATGACGGACGACGACGACAACGAGGAAGGAGGAAGGACGACCACGGCGACAAAGACGACGGAAAGGACGACGAGGAAAGACAGAGGACGACGACGTCCACGACGACGACGACGAGGGAGGAGGGAGGACGGCGACGACGACGACGACGCAAGAGCGCGCGCGCACGCTTTGGTTGAAAATCCGTGTTGCGAAACCATGTGTTTTTGTAGATTTGTTTGGGCACTCGATTTTGAAACCCTTCCGAAGCCCAAGGTTTTTGAAGGATTTCGGCATGCGCGCGCGACGACGCGCGCGCGTTCACTTCGTTTCATTTTTTCCAGAGGGTTCTCGCGACGGCACGCGCGCAAGAGTGTTCGAACGATATCGACATGCGCGCGCGAAGCTCGTTTGGTAGTACGTTATGACAATATTGAAAAACCGATGGTTTCCTTTATATTTCGCACGAGCGCGCGTAAGCTTATTTAGTAATTCCGTGTTGCGAAACCCTGTGTTGTTGTATGTTATTGGAAACTCGATGTTGAAATCCGTCCGAAACCGAAGGTTTTTAAAGGATTTCGGCATGCGCGCGCGACGACGCGCGCGTGCGCACTTCCTCCAATTTGCTGCAAAGGATTATTGAAAACTTATGACTTTTGATAAACGAGTGAGCGCGCATACCGTTTTAGGCAGAGGATGGCGGGGGAAAGCGATACTGGTCCCCCTGGGATAGCGCAAATTCAAATCTAGGATGGACGATGGGGCCGAATCACATGTAATTCCAATACGAAAATGGGAATCGTTAAGCCCGAGGGGGGGAGGGTGGTAGAAGTTACTTGTTGTATAGTGAATACCTATATATATATATAATGGGAATACACGTTTCAGTCGGGCGTGTCCTTCTAAAGGAGGAATAAATGGTTTTTCTATTCTAGGTTGGCCATGTTTTGATGACTTTTGATTGTTCACGCAGGCCGAAAGGTGTTCCGCTCGAGCCCCAGATGTCGGAAGCGACGGCCTCCCGTCCCTTCTCCCCTCCTCGTGCCTCCTCCCTCCTCCTTCCCCTCCTCCTCCTCCTCCTCCTCTCCTCCTCCTCCTCCTCCTCCTCCTCCTCTCCTCCTCCCTCTCCTCCTCCTCCTCCCTCCTCCTCCTCCTCCTCCTCCTCCTCTCCTCCTCTTCCTCCTCCTCCTGTCCTGGGAAGACCCCCTCCCCCGTAGAATCATAGCTTTGGTCCGCAGATCCACAGTTCTGTGGATGGCATGATGCTTCACGTGCGGTGCCCCGCGGATCCCATTTCCCCTGGGTCCCGGATGCTAACTCTTCTTGTTTAAATATATACATATATATATATATATATATATATATATATATATGTATGTGTGCATTCCCGGAAAATAAATGGATCCATTGGTTTTTCGCACACGGGAAATTGGAGCCGGGCAAGACAGACACAGGATCCACGACACTGTCGCACACCCAAAAAAAAATCAAATTGGCTCCATCGGTGCTCTCATATTTTCAGTCCAAGAGGAAAAACTTTCGGCCTGGGGATATATGTTTTACTGTTCGTCCAAAATCCTCCTGCAGGGAGACATGCCCGACCTGAATCAACGTGGAGCAACCGATGGGGTGCAACAGATGTTGTGCAACCAACGAGGTGCAATCTACGTAGTGGTAGGTATGTGGTGGAATCCATGTTGTGCAGGTAATGTCTTTTTTCGCAGTGAGTTGTCAAGTCCACTGCTCGCGCCAGCATCCAACCCACCATGCGGGGGCGATTGTGATAACTGCTCGGCGCTGGCTGGCGCATCGCCGCGGCCCCGCTAGCGCGCGCAGGCTCGCGCGCAGAGCGGCCAGCTGGTCTGGCGCGACGGACGCGGCCGCGGTGGCGCTGACCGCTGGAAACGTCCCAGCGGGCACTTCAGTGCGAGTCGGTGACTTGGGCAGGCGCGTCATCATGGCAACGCCGGCAGTGATGGACACGATGATGCCACTAGCGATGTTGGTGACCATGATGAGACGGCAAGGCCAGGGACGGCGCCGGTGCTGATCACGCCGACGACGATGACGGCGTCCTCGCGTCGGTGATGAAAGTTTTAGAAAGAGTTCGACATGCACGCGCGGCCGACGCGCGTGAGTGACCCGCATACTATTGTTAGACATGGGCCGTGCCCCCCCCCCCTTTCTCAGCACGCGCGCAAGGGCGCCCAGATGTCGACATGCGGCGCGAGAGGCCCGCTGGGACGAAGTTGATGAAAATGTTTCGGGGGCGACAGAACCCCGACCCTAACACGTGGATGGATGAATTATCCGTTTTCGGTTCTCGAGAGGGCGCCGCGGCCGTCAGTTTCCAGGCTTGCGCCCGCCAGGTTTGGGCCCGAGGTCGTTTTCACGAAACCACGTTTTATTAAAAGGGGGCATGTCAATCCCCGAATGAAAGAAAACCAAAGTTTTGTTAAGAGTTGGCAAGAGAGCGAGCACATATTGTTTTTGAAACTGTTGTTGCAAAACCATGGCATGGTATTATGAATCTACAATCACACTGTGTCTTTATATGTTTTCGGGACATTCGATTTTGAATCCTCTACAAAACCTCCGGCTTTTGAAGGAATCCGGCATGCGTGCGCGACGACGCGCGCGTGCGCATTTCGTCCGACTCTTGCCCGGGATGTTTGAAAATTGTTAATGTTTGATAAACGCGTGCGCGCGCACGTTTGCTGTTGCGAAGGATGGGGGGAAAGCGATAAGGGCCTGCCTGGGATGGTGTGAATTCGCATCTACGATGGACGATGGAGCAGCATCACAAATAAATTGCAATGCGAGAAGGTGATGTGTTAAGCCGGGGGGGGGATAGATCCGGATATTCTTCTCGAACAGAGAATGTATGTGCTGCAATCTATATGGTGCGACCAGGCGGCGACGGGGCAGCGGCGGCGACCACGGAGCCGCCAGACCGACCTCCAGCTCCAATTCCTTAGAAGACAGGCAAGATGCCTGAAGTGCAAGCACTGTTTGGGGAATCTTGGATGACCTTGAAATCAACACGCACGCACGAAGCCACACAACGTACGGGAAATGGACGTTTGAGCGATGGCAAGTCTCTCCTGCCGCCCCCGCGAAGAGGTGCGCGAGGAGCAGGCGGCCGCCGCAAGGCAGCAGCAGCAGGCCGCTCCGTCGCGGCGTGCAGACAGCCCCAGACCTCCGGCGATCTTCGCTTAGTTACAGTGCTACTCGACTTCGGCCCCCTCCTCGAGTTCCGCTTTGGAATCTGGGCGGTTTTCCCTGATGCCGACCCCCTGGGTTCCGTCCTCGGGCCCCAGGGCCAACGAAGACAGATCCGCGGCGAAGAGCTGGCCCCGCGGGGGAATTCCCCCGAAGGGGGAGGCTGGCTCGCACCGAGCAGAACTCCCGACCGCTTCCAGGGGCCGGGGCTTTTAAATCGGGGCCGCGCACTGGAAGAAAAATCGGAGATTGTCGGATCGTCGGATGTCCGAGGGACGGATTTGTTCAACCCGCCCTCTGGGGGACGTCTTGTTCGGGGCCCGGGGCCATCGAAAGCGGATGTGCTGTACAAACACACACACACACACTTTTGTTGCGTCGGCCGCTAGGCAGAGCGACTGCGCTAGCGGATAGGGCGTTGGTCACGCACACACACACACACACACACACACACACACACACGCACGCACGCACGCACGCACGCACGCACGCACGCACACACACACACACACACACACACACCAACAGGCACACACACACACACACACACAGCACACAACACAACTCACAACACACACACACACATCACACACACACACACAAACACACACACACACACACAACACACACATATACTTCTTACGTCGGCGACTAGGCAGAGGGACTGCGCTGGCGGATAGGGCGTTGGCAGAGCTAACGAACGCGAATTAGGCCGCGGTGCACGAGGGGGGAGGAGAAACACACACACACACACACCCTGGCCCTCCCCCCACATCCCCCCCCCCTTCACCTGCATCCTGGTGGCGAGGGTGCGCTGGGGCGGAGCACTACTCCCCGGGAAGTAGGCGAGCACCTTCCCTCCAGCTTCCCGCCCCGCACCCCTCTGGTCCCATCCCGCCCTGGTGCCGTTAAATCTCACAGAAAGGCCACTAACGATAAATCGGCGCTGGTGGGATTTTCTCTCCACGTGGTCCGTGGGCTACGCCAGGCCGACCGAGAAGCAACATGTCTGTTAGAATGGCAGTGACCTTTTGTTTTGGAGGGGGAAGAAGACACAGACACAAAGAATCCCCAATTCCCAGAGAAAAGTTGAAGAAATAAGAAGTGGAGGAGAAGACGAACATCCAGGAAACATGGAAACTATCCTTGCGAAGGACCCAACCACGTGCAGTTGTGAGTAACGCAGTTGTGGGTATCGTCCTCGGTGAGCCTCTCTCTGGGGGCGTGTGACGGTGTGCCAAAATTGGCAAATTAGCACGGGGACGCCATGCGGACGCTGCCACAGGAGCCGTCGATGGAGCCCCATGTGAGGCCACGAAACGTGTGAGGGGTGCGCCGAATTCAGGGGAACAACGTGCGGGCGCTGCCACTAGGGCCTTTGGCGGAGCTCCCTATGGGGCCACGAAACGTGTGAGAGGTGCGCCGGATTGGAGGTGGAACTGCATGCGGACCTTGCCACTGAGGCCTTAGGTGGCGCACCGTATTGGGCCACGAAACGTGTGAGGGGTGCGCCGAAATGGAGGTGGACTTGCATGCGGACCCTGCCACTGGGGCCCTGGGTGAACCAGACTATGGCCACGAAACGTGCGAGGGGTCCGCCGAAATGAATATGGACCTGCATGCGGACCCTGCCACTGGGGCCCTGGGTGGAGCACCCTATGGGGCCACGAAACGTGTGAGGGGTGCGCCGAAATGAATATGGACCTGCATGCGGACCCTGCCACTGGGGCCTTCGGTGAAGCACCTTATTGGGCCACGAAACGTATGAGGGGTGCACCGAAATGGAGGTGGACCTGCATGCGGACCCTGCCACTGGGGCCTTCGGAGAAGCACCAAATTGGGCCACGAAACGTATGAGGGGTGCGCCGAAATGGAGGTGGAGCTGCATGCGAACCCCGCCACTGGGGCCCTGGGTGGACCAGTATGGCCACGAAACGTGCGAGGGGTGCGCCGAAATTGGGGTGGAACTGCATGCGGACCCTGCCACTGGGTCCTTGGGTGGGGTGCGCCGGATTGGAGGTGGAACTGCATGCGGACCTTGCCACCGAGGCCTTAGGTGGCGCACCTTATTGAGCCACGAAACGTATGAGGGGTGCGCCGAAGTGAATGTGGAACTGTAAGCGGACCCTGGGGCATTCGGTGGCGCACCGTATGGCGCCACGAAACGTGTGAGGGGTACGCAGAAATGAGGGTGAAATTGCATGCGGACCCTGCCACTGGGGCCTTGGGTGGAGCACCCTATGGGGCCACGAAACGTGTGAGGGGTGCGCCGAAATGGAGGTAGAACTGCATGCGGACCCTGCCACTGGGGCATTCGGCGGAGCACCCTATGGGGCCACGAAACGTGTGAGGGGTCCGCCGAAATGGAGGTGGAACTGAACGTGTGAGGGGTGCGCCGGATTGGAGGTGGAACTGCATGCGGACCCTGCCACTGGGGCCTTCGGCGGAACACCCTACGGGGCCACGAAACGCGTGAGGGGTGCGCCGACATGGAGGTGGCACTGCATGCGGACCCTGCCACTGGGGCCTTCGGTGGAGCACCCGATGGGGCCACGAAACGTATGAGTGGTGCGCCGAAATAAAGGTCACGCGGACCATGCCACTGGGACTTTCGGTGAAGCGTATGAGGGGTGTGCCGACATGGGGGAGGGAAGGAGGGAGGAGCGGGAGGAGGGGAGGAGGAGGAGAGGAGGAGGAGGAGGAGGAAAGAAGGAGGAACGCGGGGCGCTGTCTCTTCAAAACGAGGACCCAACACCACCGGATGGTTCGGAAATATGTGGGATCCTGGGATTTGTGTGTATTTGTTGGCGTGTCTCTGGGCCCTCTTATTCTTGTAAGGCATTGTCGGGGCATGTCGGGGCCTGGAACACGCTCGGGCCTTCTGGATGGCCTTACTGAATGGCTCCGTCTCTCTGCGCAGTCACTGTTGTGGCCTGCTGGAGAGCGTTTGGTGCCAGGTGGGGGCCTCTTGGAGGCTTCTTGGTGCCATCCTCCAGCTCTCTTGGCGCTCAATCGGGGGCACTTCGACCCCACCTTGGAGCATCACTGAAGCCCTATCGAGCCTCTCTTGGGGCCACGCGTGTCGAAAACCATCGGCGCTGTCAAGGATCATTGCTATCCCAGGGGGAGATCGTTTGGGTGCCTTCCGGGTCTCCCTTGCGGTTTCTTGTGCAACCCTCCTGGCTCACATTGGGATTTTCATGGCGTTGCCTCCAGGCCTGGTTGGGCCCATCCTGGAGCCCGATGAGACCGCCCAACCAGCAACCGTATAGCGGTGTGTAGGTCCGATCCCCTTCTTGCAATCACAGTAGGCGCGTCAAATCAGAAACCAGATTGCCAGCATGTGCTAGGTGGCAGTGCATGATTTCCCGATGACCCTGGGGACCCGAAGATGGCAGGAAGGTGCGTCCCTGGGCTTTTGATTGCAAGATCCTTTCTCACCCGTACTCACCGCATGTAGGAAGATGCTTGCGATTCTCAGCCTCGTTTTCTCAGCCGACAACTTACGATAATTTACGTAGGGGAACAAAAAGTGACATAAGCATAAGAACTCGGAGGTCCGCGCGGATTTCTCGGATCGGCGCTGGACCCCCCTCCCTGGCGCGCGGATGGCGCCAGGGGCGGCGCCGGAGGCGCCGCTGGGGGGCCCCAGCGCCGATCCGAGAATTCCGCGCGGACCTCCGAGTTCGTATGCTTGTGTCACTTTTTGTCCCCCTATTACGACAGCTGCCAGGAAGCCACGAGCCACGGCCGTGGCCATCCGTGGGGCTCCTGGGGCCGGGGCCGGCCCCCGGAGGCGCGAAGCGCTCTGTCCCGAGGACCATATTCGAATCCAGGCGATGCCCTCCTCCTCCTCCGTCCTCCTCCTCCTGTCCTCTTCCTCCTCCTCCTCCTCCTCCTCCTCCTCCTCCTCCTCCTCCTCTCATCCCTCCTCCTCCTCCTCCTCCTCCTCCTCCTCCTCCTCCTCCTCCTCCTCCTCCTCCTCCTCGAGAATGATCTCCTTTCCAGGCCGCCCACATGGGGCCAGAGTAGACGGGGTCGGAGGATCGGCCGCATCTCCGATACTTCCGCGATGCGGCGTGATCGGATGCCCGCTGTTCTCCATCCCGACTATCGCTGATGCATCGGCGATACGATGTGATACTCCGACCCCGTCAACACTGAGCTTCGTCGCCCCGAATCGTTTCTGGCGGCCCTGTCTTCAAGCGGCAGCGGCGCGATTCCTTATACGCATGAAATATGTTCGCCTTACATTTATACTTTGTCATGTTCCGTTCATGCTGCGTCTGTTGTGCGTCATCATATGTGAGTGTAAGTGTGGTGTTGGTCTGACTTGTTTAAAACACGGCGAGATTATACTGTGCACGTGTTCTTACGTGTATTTGCATTTGTACACATTCATGGGCGTACATGTTTGCACGTGCACACTGTTTAGTTCGAGAGCGCGTCTGCGCCCACGCAAGTTTCCTCTTGCTGCATCTTTGATCAGCGCGAAATGTGGTTACTATAGTCGGCACGTCAAATAAGAAACCGGCCTGCCAGCAGGTGCCCCACAGAGGCTTCTTATCCCCCGAAGGCCCCAGGGACCCACGGAAGCTGCGGGCACCTCAGGACCCTCGAAGGCCGACGAAGAATGTGTCCCAAGCGCAGTGAGGCTCCTTCCGTGTGTCTACTGTCTGCGCCCCTTTCCACGAGCTCCTCATCGGTGTTTTATAGATGTAGATAGAATAGAATGAAACAGAAACGAGAGAGAGAGAGAAACAACAACAACAACAACAACAACAACAACAACAACAACAACAACAGCAACAACAGCAACAACAACAGCAACAGCAACAGCAACAGCAACAGCAACAGCAGCAGCAGCAACAGCAACAACCACAACCACAACCACAACCACAACCACAACCACAACCACAACCACAACCACAACAGCAACAGCAACAGCGACCACGACCACAACCACAACCACAACCACAACCACAATAACAGCAGCAAAATCTTATCGGTGTGTGTGTGTGTGCCCCCGGCCCGCCCCTCCGCATTGTTCCCACGTCTACTGGCCACCGTCCCGCCGTGGGTTTCTGCTGGCCCGTGCCCTCTCTCCTCGCATGCGCCTACACACTGTTCATCTCTAATTCTTCGAAAATGCTTCGATTTTTAGGGGGGGGCCAGATCCTTTCATTTCTAATTGTTCTATCCTGGGCCTCTTCCTGGCCACTAGGGGGCCAGGAACAATTAGAAACGAGCACAATACTGAACGACGTGTACTGCACTGGCAATTCCTTCGTCCCAGACCCCCGATGTCATGGTTTGTTTCACAACGTCGACCCCCCAGAGGTCTCGACACGTTCTCCGGGACCACTTGTTCGCCCTGCGTCGTTGTTTCACTTTACTTTCCCGAGGCCCAGCAAGGGCCCCCAGAAGCCGAAAATAACATAAAAACGTCCGTCGTGATTGTCTCATGACTCGAGGGGGTCTGCTGCGATGACCGCGGCGGCTGCTAAGGGGATGGGGGGTTTTGAAGTTGATGCTAAGGTGTTATAGCTGGCCTAACCTACCCTCTTAGTGAGTTACAAGTGCCCTAAGTGGTTGAGGAAGTTGACAATCCGGGCTAAGCTGGTTTCCGCCCATGTGGCGGAGTGATTTAACCCCCATATACCATTCAGCGCACTTGTAACCTACGTATACTTATACGCTGTATTAGGCCAGCTACAACAACTCTCAGCATCCACTTCTAACCCGCTATCCCTCACTGCACCGACCTTGCGGACGTGCTGCAGCGGATTGTTGCATGGATTTCTGTCAATGCAAAGTCCCGGAACGGCGAGCGAAAAGCGAAGTGAATTTCGCGTGGATGTTTTGGAGTTTTCATTCTTGACCAAACCAAATCCGCACGAAATTCACTTCGAGATCCGGAACGAAATTATCCAGGACAATCTGGGCCCGTCCCATTGTTTTCCGAACGGAATCCGCTCTGCGATGTTGCGCCATGATATCCCTTCAGCAACCCTCAGCATCCACTTCAAACCCCCGATCCCAGACCCACGACGTCATGATTTGTTCATGCCGTCGACCCCCAAGAGTCTGGACCCATTCCCCGGGACCGGTTTCTCATCCTGAGTCGTTTTTTGACAGTCCCGCGGCCTGGCAGGGGCCCCCAGAGGCCGAAAATATGGAAAAACCTCCCGTCGTGATTTTTTCTTGACTCGAGGGGGGCCTGGGATCTCCTCAGCAGCCGCCGCGGTCCTCTCCGTTTGGTCCTGACCGGTGGCCTCCTCGCCCCCCCTTGGCGGCCCCAGGCCGCGCAGGCCAGCGGCCCAGCCCGGCAGGAGGCGCCGCAGGGCCAGGGCGGCCGGCCCTTGCCGCGGGACCAGCACGAGGAGCCGCGGAGCCGCCGAGCGGCGGCGAGCACACCTCCGCACCCGGAGATCCAACGTATTGATGTTTTACGCAAAAAAATATAATAACAACAAAAAAAATGTTCGGCCTCTGGGGGCCCTCGCCGGGCCTCGGGACCGTCAAAGAACGACCCGGGATGAAAAACTGGTCCTGGGGAGTGAGTCGAGCCTTCTGGGAATCCATACTGAAAAAATCACGACGTCGGATCTTTGGGTACCTTGCATCCTTCATCAGCTCTGGATCCCTGGACTACCACCAGACTACGAGCACCCTCGCCCCGGACTACAGGTACCTCTCCCCCGGACTACGGGTACCCCCCCCCCAGACTACAGGTACCCCCCCCCCCTTGATTACAGGCGCCCCTCCCCCGACTACAGGCACCTTTCCAGGCTACGTCCACGCGTGCGTTGACGCTTGATCACGCGTTCCCCCCAGACTGCAGGTACCGACGAGCGGTGAGCACACACCCGTACCCGCGCCCTCGCGGTCTGGGCTCCAGGGCGCGATCCCCAGACCCCCCTCGGGTCGCGAAAAAAACACGACGGGAGGTTTTTTCAACATTGTCGGCTTCTGGGGGCCCCCACCGGGTCTCGGGACCGTCAAAAAACAACGCAGGATGAAAAACCGGTCCCGGGGAATGGGTCCAGACCTCTAGGGGTCGACGTCATGAAAAAATCATGAGACTTCCCAGATGGAGTCGGAGTAGATGGAGTCGGAGGATCGCGCCGCATCGCCGATGCATCGGCGATGCGGCTCGATGAGCAGCACGATTTTGTCCACGCCGACGTCGCCGATGCGTCACCGACGTCGCCAATGCATCGCCAATGCGGCGCGAACCTTCGACCCCATCTACTCGGACCCCACCTGGGAGGCCTCTAGCGGAGCCGACGAGCGGCGAGCACCCATCCGTACCCGCGCCCTCGCGGGCTGGGTTCCGGGCCGCGATTCTGCGGATACCCAGAGATCGGACGCCCCGAAAAAATCGGAGCGGCGGAATTTGGCCTATTTTCGGGCTTCAGGGGCCCTCGCCGGGCCTCGGGACCGCCCACGAGCGACTCAGGACGAAAAGCCAGCCCTGGAGAAGTGGTCCAGACCTCGGGGGCCCGCGCATCGAAAAAATCGGAGCGGCTGGATGTCTGTGTACGCGGTCGCACGGATACGGGCCTCGGACAGAAAAAGCGAACACTCATGCCACATTCATCGGTCAACGCCTCCTCCTTCCCCCAGCGTGCAGAGTTGGCGGTGAGTCGAATGAGTTGCACTTCGACCGCAGCCTCCTCCGCGCGTGCCAGCTTTGAACTTGGGGGAAAGGGGAGTGTCCGTTCATTGTTTCCCTCTGCCGCACGTCCCGCGCGGGGCGTCCGCGAAAGAAAGCGAAGAACAACAACAACAACAACAACAACAACAACAACAACAACAACAACAATCATTTTACCCGAACGCTCAGTGTTCTCCCCAGTGCCAGGGTTTTCTTGCGACACCAGCCAATACCCCCACTTCGTGGGGGGGCCGTTCAAGCTCTACCAAATATCCAAACGACTCTTCGAGACCACCCACACCCAGCTTCCCGCCCTATGACGTTGGGACACTTCACTTCGTGGCGTGCGGACGACCCTGGCTACTACACTGGCGTGGGGTACACACCCACAGAGGTTGATCACATCTGTTACATATGATGTGGTACACGGTACACGTGAGATGGTACGCAGTGCCAAGATAGTTGGTCACATTTTTGGGGCAAATTCGTGGGGATGCGATTACAGAAGTACATGTGTTACACTGATGTTATACAGTCCCAAGGATGACGCATGCATTGCTCATAGACTCATGGCGCTATGATCCTAACTCTCAGTGCCCAACGCGCGCGTGCACAGCCAGACGGAGGGAGAGAAACACATGTATACAAGGTTCGTGACATACGCACGGTCCACCATGTTGTAAACGATCGCATGCACGGTAAGTTCTGAAATTATACGTATGTACAAGCAGACATGCGAGGGAGAAAGGGAGATGGCCATCGACAGTTCCAATACGGCTCCAAGGCGGAAGAGGGGGAGGAGGAGCAGGACAAGGAGGAAAGGAGAGAAGCGAGAAAGGAAGAACGCAGACGGCGCGGCTCTGGACACAAAGGGGTGCCATACTTTCTCCTGCTTTCGCAAACAGGTCCAGTCACACGTAGGGGTATACTCAACCGAATGGTCTTCGCATCCAGAAGCATACTAAAGGCGCGACGCATCGTCGTCTGCGATGGCGCGGAGCGGGCGCGTGGGTGCCCGGCTGCCTGGCTGATACACGTGCGGGCCTGGCTGATACCCGTGCGGTCCCAGATGCCCAATGAGATTGCCGATACGCCTGCTGGCGGGAAGGCCGGTGCTTGCATACGGCAGTGCTACCGCGAGCACGTTGTGGACCTGCGGTGGCAAGGCCTGGTAATCGAGCATGTTCGGAAGCTCGTCGCTCTGACCATACGACCGCCATACGGGCAACCACCACCACTGGTCTTGACGCGGATACGTGATCTCTGTGCCGACCTCAGGGGATACGTTCCAAAGGGCCATTTTCTGCGGGTCCGTACCCATGAAGGCCGCGTGGTACGCAATGAATACGTCCAAGGTGGCCAGGGCCCTGTAGGAGAGGCCGGATACGATCTCCGCATGAATGGGAATAGCGAGCTGACCGAGCAAATACCGCATACTGCGATACACCCACTGGCCCGGGTGGACGAAGAGGTTGGCTTTCCAGGCGACGATACCTGCTGCGGTGCACAGCGTGTCGAATACGTGCACAAGGTAGCCAATGGGCTTCCCAAGCCTCTCATCCTGGAATACCGAGAAGTTCCCGAATACCGCGTTCGCGTAAAAGTACGCGTCGAAGTACAGCCATTCGGGCTCGGCGATGCCCCCCATACTGTGCTGGTACTCCGGGTCGTTGTTGATCTTCGACTGCCCCGTGGACATACCGCTCGATACGGCGAGGCACACGCCCGTAACACCCTCCCATAGAAGAGGGAAGAAGATACCGCACGCGAACCACCTTTCCGAGCCACACTGCTTCAACCAGCGGCGCGCATACGCCTCGTGGCCGGGTGGCGTATGCCAGCGATCCATACTCGAGCTCACTGCGACCCTATCTGGCACATACAGTGGTGGATCCAACTGTCGGAGCGCCCGGCATAATTTGAAAGCGGTATTATACTCAATGCCCAGGTGGCGGATGGCAGAGCCGTGCTGCTCCTCCAGCTCCTTGGCGCTAGAAATACTGACCGTGCCAGTCACAACCCGATACTTGGCCCACCAAGTCTTGCACGCCTGGTGACTAGCATTGATACCCTTTGCCCGGAGCGCCTGATGCAAATAATACGCACTCTCGCAGTCGGCCAAGGGAGGCCGCGACAGCTCAGGGCCATACTGCTCGTGAAGGTCTTTCGCCGTCAAAGCCATGATCCAAGAACACAGGCGATACCTTGATCCGAGATGGCTACGGATATGTGCGTCAGCAGTCGGGGGCCTTCCTGGGGCCGCTTGGGGTCCTCTTGGGGAAGGGGGGAAGCCTCCTGGCGCGGTTTGGGGTCCACTTGAGAGCCTTTGGGGGGCTCCTTGGAACCATCTTGGGGCCTCTTGGGGGCTTATTGGACCCTCACGGCGGACTCTTGGGGCCTCTAGAACGCCTCCTGGGGCCATCTTGGGGGTCTCTTGGAGCCACCTTGGAGCCTCTCTGGAACCTCTTGGGGGCCTCTTGGAGTCCTCTTGAAGCCTCTTGGGACCATCTTGGGCGCCTCTTTGGGCCTCATGGACGCCTCTTGGGGCCATCTTGCGCGCCTGTTGGGGCCATCTTGGGTTTTAAAGATTCATCAAGAGACCGCGAATGGATTTCGAGATTTTTCGGATGAGAAAGTAGTGCGTTTTCATATGTTTTCTGAACATCGCATCTTGAAATTATTGAAAACCCATTGTGTTTGGCAGGATTTCGACATGCGCGCGCGGCGGCCGCGCGCATGTGCACTTCGTCTCATTTTTTGCAAGGGATGGTGGCCCTCGCAGGCGCGCAACCGTTGTTGGAGAAGTTCAAAGCACCTGAAGAAGTAGCACGCAAAGACCCTTTTGACAGAAATGTTTAAAAAGTGGTGTGTTTCCTATGAATCCGCAAGAGCGCGCGGAAGGACATTTTGACAATTTTTTCTTAAAAAACCATTGGGTTTTTGATGTTTTTATGTTAAAATCGCTACGAAACCTAAGGTTTTGGAAGGATTTCGTCTTGCGAGCGCGAATGTCCACTTTACCTTATTTTTTGCAAGGGATTCTTGAAATTTGATCAACTAAGAACAAGAATTTTCATTTTCTATTGTTTTTTGCAAGGGAAAACGAGCGTCAACAAAAAACCGGATCCGGGGGTAATCCACTTTTCTGAAGCTTTCGCAGAAAAATGATGAAAATGTAGCTGCGGCCTAGGTTTTGGGCGGGGGGCGTGCACCAGGGGGTCCAACAATAATAATTCTTTAGAAGTAATAGTGTTCAACAACAACAACAACAACAGCAACAGCAACAGCAAAACAAAGCAAAGCAAAGCAAAGCAAAGCAAAACAAACAACAACAACAACAATAACAACAACAACAACAACAACAACAACGACAACAACAACAACAACAATCATTTTAAGACTGTTCGCCCTTATCTGCTCGAGTGTCGAATAACGCGAATTTCCCAAACCCTCGATACCCGCCCTTTTCGTCTTCGATCGAACCCCTTTTGGGGGGTATACCTTTCTTCCCTGCAGGCCGGGCCCCGGCAAGCGGCGGGGCGGCCGCGGACCGTCGGCCTGGCCAGCGGCAGCGCTGATCGGCGGGGCGGCCGCGGACCGTCGACCCGACCCCAAGAGGGACGGACAGGGGACCGACCACGACGACGACGACGACGACGACGACGACGAGGTCGACGACGATGGCAACGGCGGCGACGGCGACGACGACGACGAGCGAAAGCG